GCCACGAGAGACTCCTCCTCCGCCGATACAAAGTTCTCCCACGGCTCCCAATGGCGCAAGCTGACCGCGCGTGTCCAAGATGTAGGCTGTCAGATCCGGGATCCTCTCACCAATAGGGCTTATGGCCTGGACGCAGTCTTCCTTCTTCATGACGCGGTAGGTTACATGCACAGTCGTCTCGGTGATGCCGTACATGTTCACCAACTTGGGAGAATCATCTGACCGGGTGGCATACCATGGCTGCAAGATAGCCGGCTCGAGAGCCTCACCTCCGAAGATAACATAGCGCAGCTGATCCTGCAGTTCGCTTTGCGCCTGCACCCTGACCAGCGGCTTGAACGCACTGGGAGTCATGTTTAGGACCGTGATTCCCTGCTCGCAGATCAAACGATACAGGTCCTCCGATGAGCGAGCCACTTGGTGTGACGGGAGAACCAACTTTCCACCGTAGTGAAGGGCGCCCCAGAGTTCCCATACCGAGAAATCAAAGCTGAAAGAGTGCAACATGCACCAGGTGTCACTCTTGTTGAAGTGGTACCACGCTTCCGTTGCATCAAACAGTCGGGTAATATTTGCGTGCTCGACCATGACGCCCTTGGGCTTGCCAGTTGACCCTGACGTGTAGATGACATAGGCAAGATGGCTCGAGGACAGACTGGGAACCCTCGGGTTGGCGACGGAGGCATCGGTCGGGTCGTTTGGATCCACTACTGTCAAAGAAGACATAGCTGCCTCTCCAAGTGCGTCGCGTCCATATGTGTCAGCCAAGAGGATGGGTGGCGAGGCATCGGACAGAATATCAAGGAGACGCTCGCTGGCATGGATGGGATCCAATGGCAAATACGCGCCACCAGCTTTCAAGATGGCAAGGATGGCGATCACCATTGCCGGAGTGCGCTGCACACAGAGTGCGACAAGTGAGTCCGGCATGACACCGAGACCGATGAGATGGTGAGCAAGTCGGTTGGATCGTGCATTGAGGTCCGCATAAGTCAAAGCCTGATCTTCATAGACCACAGCAATCGCGTCCGGTGTCTGAGCAGCCTGCTTCTCGAAAAGCTGGTGGATGCAGTGCTGGTCGGGATACGGGCCCTCAGTGGCATTCCATGTCTGAAGGAACAACTCGCGCTCATCTGGAGGCAAAATATCCAGGTCCTGAATCGGCATGTCCGGCGTGTGTTCGAGCGCATTGGCCAAACCGGAAAGCGCCTGCTCCATGTATCCACATACTCGCACAGGGTCAATGGGCTGCAGAATTTGAGCTGTCAGGCCAAGAGCGGACCCAAAGTCCTCCACCGACATGACAAACGGATAGTTCGTGCGCTCTTGGCCGCCCAAGAACTCGATGCCTGGGTAGTTGACGCGCTCTTCCTTGCTGGTGAACTCAATGGACGAAGGTTCCGTGCCGTCGCTCGGCGGCATCAATGTGTGACGGTAGTTCAGTAATGCACTGAACAAAGGCGATCCGGCCGGTACTCCGCTACAGCGCTGCGCTTGAGCCAGAGAGGCATGCTCATGTTCCACTAGAGCCGCAAGTCGCGAATGAGTCTGCTGGATCCTCTCCTGCACACTCTGCTTATCGATGTCGCAACGAACAGGGAGTGTATTGATTGAGAGTCCCATTGCATGGTCATCACCTTGTTCGCTTTGTATTCCACCAATTAGAACTGTTCCAAACACTACCCGCTCCTGTCTGCTGGTCTGTGCGAGCACTTGAGCCCATGCTGCATGGCACAAAGTCGCCAGACTCACGCCAAGTCGCCTGGCCTGAGAACGGAGGCGGTCGTTCAGGTCCTGCGGCAGAACTCGATGGGCCTCTTCGATATCCTCGCCGTCATTGTGGACCTCGGCTAGCTCAAAGGGAAGCGTGGGCTCCTCGATATCATGTAACATCTCTTTGAAGAACTGTTCGTGAGCCTCTGGGACTGGTCCTGAACGTACTTGGGCAACCAGGTTCCGGAATGGCTGGGGCGATGAGAGGGTGTACTCCAGACCATTGAGGATACTCTCGATTTCACCGTTCATCATCTCCAATGCTGCATGATCCCCGATGATATGATGCATCATCTGTACTAACAACCATCGGCCATCTGTATCTTGCGAAATGATAAAGTGCAACAATGGTGCTTTGGTCAAGTCCAGACGATAATTGCTGCGGTTAAAATCTCGGCTCAGTTGATCCATGATAGGTCCATTGCTCGGGTCCATGCAGAGTTCCTGGACATGGAGAGGTGCATGGCGAAGTACGACTTGTGCTGGCTTAGATATGGTTTCCCAGATGATCGCCGTGCGCAGGATGTCGTGGCGATCGACGACCTTCTGGAACGCTTTCAGGTAACGATCCAATAATGCTCGGTCTTTGAATGCCAAATGGGAGGTCAGCAGGTATGGATCACCTTCCGTGGCGAGTAGATGATGGAACAAAATACCATCCTGCAATGGTGAAAGGGAGTAAATATCTTGAATGTTTGCCAGGCCACCGGGTACTTGATCGACAATGCGGTCGATATCACCTTGCTTCATATCAATCAGTGGCAGCATCTCTGGGGTCAAGGCCTCAGTTTCCTTCGTGATGAAGTTAGGTGGCGTAGGTACAGGCTGATGTTTGCTCAGAGCTTGTGCAAGCACGCAGAGAGTAGGGGACTCAAATAATGTGCGCACCGAAACTGTCCAGCCTAACCCATGCAGACGCTCCAACATCCTTACTGCAAGCAATGAGTGCCCACCAAGGGCGAGGAAGCTATCATGACGACCGATTCGGTTCACTCCCAGTAGCTCCGTCCAGATCGCAGCAATAGCACGCTCAATTTCGCCCATGGGAGCATCGTAAACCTGACGCGCGAAGTCACCGTCCTCTGGCTCAGGCAGTGCGCGACGGTCTAGTTTGCCGTTGGCTGTCAGTGGCAACCGGTCTAGACGCACAAATGCTCCAGGCGTCATGTACTCTGGCAGTCTCACAGAGATATGGGAACGCAGCAAGTGTGCAAGGCCCTCGTGTGCCTCAGCAACCACATACGCTACCAGTCGCTTGTCTGTGCCTTCGCCCACTGCAACCACCACTGCATCCTCGACCAGCGAGTGCTCGACAAGACGTGCCTCGATCTCGCCAAGCTCTATGCGGAAGCCTCGGATCTTGACCTGTTGGTCGTTGCGGCCGAGGTACACAAGACTGCCGTCTGGGAGATACCGAACGAGATCGCCGGTCTTGTACATGCGGGCACCTTGCACCTCGCTGAATCCGTCGAGAGCGAACCTTTCTGCTGTCAGCTCTGGCCTGTTGAGGTACCCCCGGGCCACACCTGCACCGCCGATGCACAGCTCACCTATTGCTCCCAGCGGCACCGGCTGGCCGTGCCTATCCAAGACATAGGTGGTCAGGTCTGGAACTCGCACTCCGATCGGACTGATTGCCTGCGAACAGTCCTCGGGGCCCATCACACGGTATGTCGCATAGACCGTAATCTCGGTTGGACCGTACATGTTCACGACCCGAGAAGAGTCCCTAGGCCGGCTTGCATACCACGGCTGCAGAATGGCCGGATCCAGTGCCTCGCCTGCCAGGATGACATTGCGTAGTCGGTCGTGCTGCTCACTTTCAGCCTGGACCTTGATCAGCGGCTTGAAAGCACTGGGGGTCATGTTCAGGACTGTGACCCCTTGGTCGCAGATCACACGGTAAAGGGCCTCGGGAGAGCGAGCGGTGTCGTTAGCCAGGAGGACCAGCTTGCCACCGTAGCGAAGGGCTCCCCACAGTTCCCACACGGACACGTCGAAGCTGAAGGAATGGAACATGCACCAGGCATCGCTCTCGTCAAAGCCGTACCAGGACGCAGTGGCATCGAACAAACGGGTGACGCTTGCATGCTCGACCATGACCCCCTTGGGCCTTCCAGTAGAACCAGAGGTGTAGATCACATAGGCAAGGTGGTGGGCGGTCAGAGTGGGGACTTGCGGGTTGTCGATAGGGCCCTCCGGCATCAACTCCAGATCCACCACGGTGAACGAAGAAAGAGCCAGCTCACCTATGGTGCTGCGTCCATGGTTGTCAGCCACAACAATGGACGATGCGCAGTCGGAGAGGATATCGAGAAGGCGCTCGCTGGCATGGACGGGGTCGAGGGGCACATAGGCACCGCCAGCTTTCAGGATGGCAAGGATGGCGATCACCATTGCCGGAGTGCGCTGCACACAGAGTGCGACAAGTGAGTCCGGCATGACACCGAGACCGATGAGATGGTGAGCAAGTCGGTTGGATCGTGCATTGAGGTCCGCATAAGTCAAAGCCTGATCTTCATAGACCACAGCAATCGCGTCCGGTGTCTGAGCAGCCTGCTTCTCGAAAAGCTGGTGGATGCAGTGCTGGTCGGGATATTGCTTGTATGGTTCGTTCCAGGTCTCGAGCATGAGTTTTCTCTCAGCAAGCGAAAGGATCTCAACGTTGGTGACAGGTCGCTTGATGTCCCCAGTCATGGCTTCAAGCATCGCAATCCAATATCCAACGTGCCTGACAATCGTCTCCTTGTCGAAAAGGTCCGCTGCATAGCGCATGCGCCCAGCAAGCCCGTCACCTTCTTCCTGCAAATCCAACTCGAGCTCAAAGCGAACGGTGGTTGTGTCCGGCGCTTTATGGCTCAAGCCCCCATCGCCCCACCGGAATGCCGCCTGGCACAGCGGTGCATGGCTTCTCTGATCTGGTGGCTGTGCATGGTCGGTGGTTTTTTCGAAGGACACATCAGTATGAGCCCTTGCGGCCTGGATCCTCTCATTAGCGAGTTTGAGCAATTGGGTGGTGTTCAGGTCTCCAGAGAGGTCGATGCGCACAGGGAAGACATTTGATGAAGAGCGCATAGAGTTATCCTCGTCTCCGGCTTGGTTGTTATGCATACCGAGGACGATGTCGTTTTGGCCAGACAATCGCGAAAGCACCGCACCCCATGCAACCATCAGGACATCGGCCAAACACATATCGCATTCACGGCTCAAGTCCGTGAGCATCCGCTTCAGTTGTGCATCGACGCAGACTTGATGATTTTCTCCCGTAAATGGCTGCATCGCTGGGCGAGGGCGGTCAGTGGGTATATCTAGCGATGCTGGCACATCCGCGAACACCTTGCGCCAATAATCTTCCTGGTCCTCAAACCCCTTGTACGCGGGTACTTGGTATTCTGGTTCGACAGAGTGGAGGGTGGTCACTGAAGCGGTCTCCGATGCTGTTCGGGACATGGGCGTTCCACAATGACTAATATTATAGTAGCGATCATGAAGTTAGTAATCAACGTCCATGGCCAAGGCTATCGTGCACGAATTCCTAGCTCTTTATCACTCTCACCTCCTTCTGTTGACCACTGAATCGGTTGCAGCCATGCTAAAGGCGTCGTCAGAGAGTTCGCTGTCCGGAAACTGCTCTCAAATTCAGTAGAGGGGTTATGATGAGTAAACAATTGCAAAGTACTACCTTTTTTCCGACACCAAAGACTGTAGACCATACCTTATCGACCGTACTGATGACAACTGTTGAAATCGGTGTGCAGTCGCCGCTGCTGCCTTCAGCTCTAATGGCTACAAATGAACTGGCATGATGGTCCATCGTGGGGCGTAAAGTCTCTTCTGCAAACACTAATAGTAGGTGACGGGAAGGTGCTTCAGTACGACACATTGACCTTTGAGTTTGACTACAATACTTCTTTTTTTTTTATATGTATAAAAGTCGACACTATCTAGCCATTACTGGAACAGATCCATTACCTGCAAGAGTGACAGAAGTACTAATGTCGGCATGTCCTTTAGAGACAGCGCGTTGAAACAAAGAGGGCTCCTAAAATGATTAAGGTTAAATAATTAAGTGTGTAAATTCCAGACGCCTCAGACACATGTATTCATGTAACGCCATTGTGATGGAAAGCATACTTACATCTTGGTCAAGAGCCCCAGGAATGACGGAAAGAGAGTTTCTGTTATCGTGTTTTATAGATCAATGGATGAAAGGTCGTTGAGTATTTTTGTATTCTTAAAGATGTATACTTCACACGGTGTCAATTACATGTCCAGCGATCGTACCTCTTGTCGATTGACGATCTCTCGAAATTATCAAAGACTTCGACCTATAAACATGAAAACAAGATCCTCTGTTGGTCATCATTTTACAAGATACGTGTGCAGCTTTAGGGGGATTGATATCCAATGCTTTGGACCATATATACCTCCTTGATCCCCTTCGTGTCCAGGGTGGAAATTGAGACGCTGTGGATGCTGCCAAAAGCAGTTTGAATGGTCACTCGAGGGCCAGGAAGTCCTTCTACACGGTGAACAATGATATAAAGAGGTGGGTGATCTGCTGTACTGCACGAAAATCGCTGTCTATAACATCGTACCAATGCAAGTTAAATACCTAAGTCCGTGGCGGATTGCCCAGTGCTCGAACTGCCATCCAGCAACACGGAGCCCTAAGTATTGAGGATGGTTCCGTGTTAGCGACCGCTTGAATGCTTGGCGATAAAATGTACGCAGAAATAAAATGAGACAAATGCTCAGGTAACCTACAGAATCAATGCTGGTCGATCCTTGGTGACCGATGTCATGGCTGAAGACATTAGAATGGGTGCCCATGCTGGTAGCGATGTTGCTCGCACGGCTATTTCAAATGATGTCGTCAGTACATTCGTGAAGTTCTGTGTAGAGTACACTCCTTGGTACTGGCTGCTTGATACATACATGCATTTTTCCTGAGAAGGATTGAGGGATTCAGGCATCTACAAAAGAGCAGATTTACAGTTAGCAACGTTCATCTCTTACACCAGGTGTCATTGTGATTGACGGATGTAAATGTATCCTATGGCCGCAGCCCAGTCCATGTCGCACCTTGGTCTGTACTAGTAGGTGTTATTGGTCGTTTTATTAGACGTAACGGATGGATCTCTGAAAAATGAGAAATAGGAATATTTCAGTGTAAAAAAGACAACTGAGTCCGACCTTTTATATGAACACACACAGGAGCCCCAGCGACAGACGAAAAAGCGCCATGGTAAAACTTAATGCGGGTAGAGGCGCTGATATGGACATGGGATGACATGGGCTTGGATGGGCACCTATACGAGACCCATGGCCCATGATCATTTGTGCTTTCGTTACATATTCAGCCGTCGATTTATCTCGCGTCAAAGTTTGCAGTAAACGCTCCCAAACGTTGTATGAACAGAAATCCACGTGGCGTGGACCTTAATGTTACGGAATCTTGTGCACACAATTCGATGATCTATGCCGACTCTACACACATTGATCCGATAAGATATGGATATTTGTACTCCGTATTCAAAGTTACTTCCAGCGACCTGTCTGTTTTCCTTCCTTTTATTTGCTTCTGCATGGATGGATAGGCAGATGGCACTTCTTTGTGTTGCTTGCTGGCAACCTTAATGCTCCAATCAGACCAACCATGTCATTGGATCGGTTGCTCAACACAGAACGATTGCACTTTTGTTGTTCCTGCGCCCCCAACGATTGCTCTTTTGCTGTTCTTGCGCCCCCAACGATTAAGCAAAAATTGGCGAGAGTAGGGGTGATGACGATGCTGGATAGCCATGTCCTAGGCCATGCAAATATGTAGCGTTGATGCACCCATGTTAGGAGCCGTGCGCCAGACGTGGTCGATTTGGGCTGCAATTTGGTCTGGTCTCAACACAAGTGTGATCTGGTCGCGCTCATGAATGCGTCCTTTCTTCCTTCTGCCACCTCAAGCTTCCTTCCCCGCACCTTGAGCCTTGCATTGTCCTTCCAATGAGTATTGTTTCAGTAGACTATCGGCGTGCTCTACTACGAAGGGTCACGATTCTAACCCGCCTTTGCATTACAGCGGGCCCAACATTTCCGTATGACAAGCTTCATGCAGCCGATAGTTTGTTTTTTCGTATCTTCATTTATTATACGATGGAAAGTTCCTTACACCCATTGCGAGTTATGAAATCCAACATCATGATGGGTCCATACCCTTGCGGGGCTTTGTTGAAAACCACAGAGTAATTTAACTTTGTATCTTGTATCCAATGTCTCTTGAGTGCAAATCAAAGATCGTCTATTATCTCTTCTGTCGAATACCAAACTCCAGAAATGGCTCTCAACTTTGAGGTTAGACTATCTATGCTCACACTGGGTTTCTAGACTACAGTTCTGAAAACGCTTACAACTGATCCATAGATGAATGAATCTTGTTTGGATGCGCTGTTAATTTGGTGGCACTGATCCTAGAGAGTCGATGCCAAGTGCCCGCATTTATTCTTGGTGGTGAAGCACGAAGCACACTATAGGTGGCATTTCTATGTGCCACGTCCAAATAATCCCAACTATCTATCCTTTCATCGTAATCCTCATGCTCTCTTTTTTATTTTATTTTTCGAGTTGCAGACGCTTTTAGCCTTGAAGCTTACGCTTTTCTTATTATCATTGCATCCCACTCCTTTCAATCACCATTCTAGTTCTCTCCCTCTCTTTCGCATTTGTGGCTTTAATACCATTTCAGTTTGATTCGGACATGCCATAGGCACAGTCCACATGCTGACATAAATCTATGCAATATAAAGCCCAGAGCACAGGTATTTCGTTCGCAAGGATATTTAATAGCAGCACATATACAGGGGCATTAAGCGCAGCTGTTGAACTCTTTTGACAAGGCGAATATCCTTCCAGGGAGAAGAGGAAGAGTAACCAGGCGGGCTGTAAAATATTTACTGGGCGTAGTCAGAAAAAAAAATATATATACTGCGCGCCACCAATTTGATGTCGCACACGGAACAATTGCAAAAATGCCTGATTTGGTTAGCTCTGGACCAGGTGGATAATATTTTTGAAAATGGTAAACCGTGCAAGAGGCAAGGGGCAAACGCAAAAGAAACCAGAAGGACGGAGGTGCCCACGCTTCGTGAAGGAGCGGATGTCCCCTGTATGGTGGTTTATGACGTCAGAGGGGTCAGAAGAATACTTGCAAAGACATACTCCCTGCAAGGCCTGGATGACTACATTCAATACATATTCTTCGTCCATAGCACCATACTGCAAGGCCAATACCGATTGCGGTTGCTACTCTACCAATGTCCAGTTGAATGGGACTCCATATCTCAAAGCCGAGTGTCCTATGCTGCTATCACTGCTGCCGTCTCTCAAATATTAAGAATAAAGTGTAAGACTGAGCCCCATTAGCACAATACCCACCTCTCCCCCATGTTTGTCGGAACAATTAATCTGCTTTGTCACGGCTTGAAGTGCTTAGTTGAATTCACACTTTTAGCGGTTTTTTTTTTTTTTTTTTTTTCTACGCCCAGGTCCCTGATTATTTCTCAAGGAGTGGAGCTGTATAGCTGCTTTGTGTCAACTCTAGTCATAATGGATACACCTCCGCCCCCCTTTCGCTTTTCCTTTTCACACTAGGCGACCTGGACGGTTTGTATGCGCAGGAAAGACACGTTAGCGGATAGAGGGATGTGTAAAGTCATGCAGGTGTGCCTTGCATCGCTTAAACCCATTCTGAGAATACCCTGTGGTGTGAATGATCCAAACAAACAAAGAGTCAAGCAAAGCATCCTCTTATGGTAAAATGTGGGGATTGGCGCAATTGGGGACGGATATAGCAAACTATGAGCCATAGTGAAGCAGACAGACGGCAGGAGTGAGTAATAGTGTGAGGGAGGGTGTTGGTGGGACGGAGGATGGAGAGAGAGAGAGGAATGAAGATCAAACAACAACAGATATACACATACACATGCACAGACAGATGCACACGACAAGGACAAGCGACAGTAGCGAGCAGGACGACCAACAGCGACAATTTAAAGAAGATGTGTCATCTAACAAAAAAAAAATTGAAAATGAAAATGCCCTTTCTATCTTGGGCATTCCGCGTCCGTGCAAAAGGGTGTCCGTCCAAGTTTATTTTCTTTGTTCCGGCGGGTTGTTTCCTCGGGTTGTTTATAGGATTATAGGAAGGGAGGGGAGGGGAGGGGAAAGGAGGGTGTGTCCGTGTTCGAGTGGGCCAATGAGTGCGGTTAGCGAGCGACCCAACATCTTCACATGCTTGCGGATCTGAGGCGGATAAAGTTGCATGGGTCTACTGCAGGCAGGGCCGGTGTGACTGTGCAGGCCCTGCCCATCCTGGCCCCCGTGTAAAGTAAAACAGAGTTTCCCTCTGGGCCTGACCCCGCAGGCACAAATGTCCATATTCATCCTGAGCCAGCCTTACCCCGCACTCGCTCGCCTCGATCCACAGCAACACGTCAGGGCAGGGGGATCATGACGATGACTACGACCATGACTATGACTGATAGGGCCCATATAAAAGGGCGCCCCTTCTTTGATCCCCTCCACCCGTCCTTCTTTTCCCTCTTCTCTCCTCTTTCTTTCCAACCACATCATCCTCTCCCTCCCTGCCTCTCTTCCTCCCAGTCCTCTTCTTCTTCGCCCCTTGATCTATTCGCACTCCCCACTCTACCCCCCTTAGACCAGCAGCAACACCAACAGCCTCTCTTTCCACAATGGTTCATCAAAACTCCACCACCGCTGCCTTCGTCGACGCCGAGGATAAGCACTTCCAGGAGGAGGTCGCCAAGGTCAAGGCCTGGTGGGCCACCGATCGCTTCCGCCTCATCACCCGCCCTTACTCCGCAGAGTCCATCGTCTCGAAGCGCGGTAACATCGAGACCGAATTTGCCTCCAACATCCAGGCCAAGAAGCTCTGGAAGCTCTTGAAGAACCACCGCAAGAACGGCACCGCCTCCCACACCTTTGGTGCCCTTGACCCCATCCAGGTCGCTCAGATGGCAAAGTACCTCGAGACCGTCTACGTCTCCGGCTGGCAGTGCTCCTCCACCGCCTCGAGCTCGAACGAGCCCGGTCCCGATCTGGCTGATTACCCCATGGACACCGTCCCCAACAAGGTCGAGCACCTCTTCTTTGCCCAGCTTTTCCATGACCGTAAGCAGCGCGAGGCCCGTCTCACCGCCTCTAAGGAGCAGCGCACCAAGATGGCCAACATCGACTTCTTGCGCCCCATCATCGCCGATGCCGACACCGGTCACGGTGGTATCACCGCCAACATGAAGCTCGCCAAGATGTTCGTCGAGCGCGGTGCCGCCGGTATCCACTTGGAGGATCAGATGGCCGGTACCAAGAAGTGCGGCCACATGGCCGGCAAGGTCTTGGTCCCTATTTCCGAGCACATCAACCGTCTCGTTGCCAGCAGAGTCCAGTTCGATATCATGGGCGTTGAGAACTTGATCGTCGCCCGCACGGATTCCGAGGCTGCCACTCTGATCACCTCCAACATCGATCCCCGCGATCACGCCTTCATTCTCGGTGCCACCAACCCCAAGCTGAAGCCCCTTGTCGTCGAGATGGCCGAGGCCCAGGCTGCTGGCAAGAACGGTGACGATCTCCAGGCTGTCGAGGACAACTGGGTCCAGGCTGCCAACATCAAGTTGTTCCGCGACGCTATTGCTGATGAGCTCAAGGCCAAGGGCAAGCAGAGCAAGGTCGACGAGTGGTTGAGCAAGTCCGAGTTCCTCTCCAACCCCGAGGCCCGCCAGCTCGCCAAGTCCTATGGCGCCGAGGTCCACTGGGACTGGGATCTCCCCCGTACCCGTGAGGGCTACTACAGATACCAAGGCGGTACCCGCTGTGCCATTAACAGGTAATTACAACTGCTTTCTGTCTTTATCTTTTTCATCCTATCTTTGTTCATCAGCAAAAGCCAGGGACAAATAGGAGCTTACCCCACGCAGGACCAACTTCCTCTTTTGGATGAGTCGAATTACATCAACAAACATCAGTGTAACCTCAGCAACACTACCGCCAACTCGATCCAACACACCCGATACTCGACTCGCATCCGAAGGGCTCTTCGCATGTTTCTTGTGTCATTTCTTATCATTAATGGGTTTCTATGCGCCCCCCATCCTTTAAACTCATACTAACAACATTGTTCATTATTCCATTGAATACAAACCCAATAGAGCTGCTGCCTTCGCTCCCTACTCTGACCTCCTCTGGATGGAGACCAAGTCCCCCATCTTGGCCCAGGCCACCGAGTTCGCCCAGGGCGTCCTTGCCAAGCACCCCGAAGTGATGTTGGCCTACAACCTCTCGCCTTCCTTCAACTGGGATGCCGCCGGCATGACCGACAACGACATGCGCACCTTCATCGCCAACCTCGGCAAGCTTGGCTTCTCCTGGCAGTTCATCACCCTCGCCGGATTCCATTGCAATGCTTTGGGCATCGACGTCTTTGCGCGCGAGTTTGCTGATAAGGGCATGTACGCCTACGTCAACGGTATCCAGCGCCAGGAGCGCAGCAACGGTGTTGAGACCTTGGCTCACCAAAACTGGTCTGGCGCCAACTACTATGATAACCTGATCAAGACCGTCAGCGGTGGTGTCTCCTCGACCGCCGCCATGGGCAAGGGTGTCACCGAGTCCCAGTTCGGCTCGCACTAAGAAGGATTTGTCGACTGAAGAGATCTTTTTCTTTATTTTTTCTCACCCAAGAAAAGAAAAGAAAAGAAAAGAAAAAAAAACCCCGGGGGGTTGTAAAGAGGGGGGAGCGTTATCCATGACCCCCCAAATATGCCCAGAACCAGACCCCAAGGAGTCCATCAAGTGAACCCCCCTTGTAACATATCCATGCATCCACCAAATAAAGATACACACTCCAAAAAAAAAAAAAAAAAAAAAAAAAAAAAAGACTCCCACGTATGAGTAACCAGATTCAATTGAAACCTTACCCAATTATGAACCCGAAAGTATCCGATACGACGTGACAAATTAGGAACAACGGCGTTCGTCCAATTCGTTGCCTTTGCGGCGACCCCTCTGATTCCTTGACATCCGTGTTTTTATGTCCTATATTTCTGAATCCTAGAATCGCTCCATTTTTTTCGTAGTCTATCGAAAGAAGGGGGCATTGCACTTCTTTTGCTTCCTACCCTGTTCCTGAGTAATTGGGTGGTACAAATGCCCCCCAAATGACATCATTCTCACGTGCATGTTTTCCGCTCTTCATTCAGCCCACAGTCAACAGCCAAAAAATAATATAAAAAAAATGCTCCGTGGAACGATCGGCTTCAAGCAACGCATTCGCCCAAGGGAAGGTACCACAAATACCATGACAGAAGACTACAAGACTACAAGACTAGAAAACCAGGTCTTTTTTTTTATTATTAAAACGCGCGGCGCGGTATCCACCAAAAAAAAAAAAAAAAAAAAAAACACGTATACTTTAGACAATTGACATTGTAAGTCTCTATCATTCTTCTACTTAAACTCGTTCCAGAACCCCTTCAGCTTCTCCTTGACCTTGGAGGAATCGCTCGACCACGACGGATGAGGCTGATGCTGCTGCTGCGATTGACCCGTCGGTCTCGGAGGCTGTGGCGGCAAATGGGGTTGCTGCTGTTGCTGCTGTTGCTGCTGCTGTTGCTGTTGCTGTTGCTGTTGCTGCTGTTGCTGCTTTTGTGGTTTCGGAGCTCCTCCACCAAACACGTTCTTGACACTCGCAAACGGATTGCTACCGCCAGTGCCGGCACTGGTCTTCACCGGAGGCTCGGGAGGTGGTGAGGGTGAACGTGGTGGGGGTGGAGGTGGCGGTGGGGGTCCATTCCTCAACATGCGCATGTCCTCCATAAACGTTGGTGGCGTGATGATATGTGTCGATCCGATCAAGATATCCCAGTTGTGTGTGGCAGCCAATTCGTAGGCCATGCGGATCTCGGTATAGGTGACTCCTCCTGCAATAAAGAGAATCAACCGTCCTTGAGGTTCATTACGACGACCCTTGTGGTGGAACGTCGGTTGTGCTGATCGGAGAGATCGGACCGTCTTGCGGGCCTGGATTGTCTCAAGCTGATCGGGCGCCAAGGTATATGGGTATTGATCTCGATCCAATGTTCCGTTCACCACTCCCTGCAAAGAACGCGAACACAAAAATTAAAAAAAGGGTTGTTAATAATCTGATCGATTATCAGGCTTGCAGGCACAGGACATCATCTCGACACACACGTAAAAAAAAAGAGAGAGACGTACATCGATAATGGCCTTGATAACAGGCGAGTAGCGCGGCAGGTCGTACTCGATATCATCCTCAGTCACCGACTTTTTCTTCAGCAATTCTGTGATCCACCATTTCTTTGTAGGGGGTGGTGCCGCCACATCCAGTTTGACGCCCAAAAACTCGAGATTGTTGGCGATCTCTCGATCGGCGTAATTGCACCGACTCAGCTGGAAGAGCTGGTTTCGCATGTCCTGAGGCACCGCCTGTGTAATGAAGAACAGCATCAGCAAGCGAAGACGGTCCACCATCCTATAGGCATAAAAATATATAATATCCAAAATGATGATTAGTTGATACCTCCTGCCACCGTTTCCAGCACACCATCTTGCGTCAGCCTGCCTACCTGACACTACTATCATCCAGGAACACAGCGATCTCAGGATCAAACGACTTGGGAATTTCTCCGCTGGCAAGCTGTCCAGTCGCCAAGGATTGCTCCAATACGGAAATGTCGACCAGCTTGTTATGTTTAATGAACTCCAAGCACTCGTTCACGATCGACAGGTGCACAGAGAACTATACGATACAAAGAACAGCAACAATCATTAGGGGGGTATTGGTACCCAACAAACTTTGACCCTATTTTTTTTAAAAAAAAAAAAAAAAAAAAAAAAAGATGCTCAAAGTAGTCGACAAGTACCTTCTCTTTGTTCTCTTGGAACTGAGGCAACTTTGCCATTTGCTCCCTGATCACATCCAACTGATTTCCAGACGTCCTAATTGTTTGAAGAGAGAGATACAGCATGAAACCCCCCATATCAGTAACTCACTCATAGTCCAGACCTCGCTAACGACCAGTTACACTGAAGACACTGTCCTTACGATTTAGTCATGGCATCGGCCACAAAGCTATCAACATTACTCTTCAAGAATTTGATGCAGTCCGTGATATGGTTGTGACGGATCTTCGTGAACGTCTTGTCATTCTCGTCCAACACCGCAACCTTTTCACATGGCTGTCCGTCCTGACCAAACGAGCTGTATTCGTACTTGGTACCATCCTTGATCGACAACAAATCCGTTGCCAGTGCCTGATAACAAAAGTCGTGCAGGATAGGGGTAATTGGGTCGACTGTGCGGTCGATAATGACCAGTTGCGGCTGCTTGAACTATATGCACAAAAAAAAAAAAAAAAAAAAGGAGAAAAAAATGATCTGGTCAGCGACAATTTTCTCTTGTTTCGGGCAGTGAACTCGTCAGATCCATGGTGATTAGAGTACTTACTCCAATGCGTGGTTGTCCTTTGTAATATTCATCCAGATCTGTCTGCACAGTCATAGCAATGTTCTTTGAAGTTTGCATGGTGATTTCGGAAGAGCGGTAGTATGATACAATGGGGTTGACTTGAAGTGAGGCGCACACTGAGACCAGCTAGAAACACACGCATAGTCAACATTTGGCTGTTAATAACCATGCAACCATGCAATCCGCTCCTAAAGGCCTCTGCTCCTGGTGGCTCTAGTCTTGAAAAGGTAATGCAGTACCTGTTTGGAAATTGAGTTGATCTCAGAATGCTGGTTCCTATCCTTGATGCTGGGCGAAAACAAGTTGAAGAACGCGTTCCTGTTTCCCAACGAAAACACCCTTGATTCGACGGCTATGAGTTTAACCGTGGACACCACAAGATTTGCACGTTAGAGCTTCTGCAGCGGTGCCGAGAAAAAAAAACCTGCTTCGATCTAATCTGCAAGAGTCTTCAAGGATTTGAGCTCTCGTACCGAAAAAGTCCATGAACAGCTCCTTCAAACTCTTGATGTATTTTGCATCTGTTGATGCCCGCAGATGATCGAATGTTTTGTCGTCCATGGCTATATCCCGTGGAGTAGTAGGAAAACCCCTTTATCAGTTAATGAACCTTCTGACTGTAAAACAGTACGGTTCAATTTGCATAGCCGAAAAGAAGACTTCTCTTACCTGCTAAGAAGAACAAATGTGCGGCGGCATACGTGGCAGGTCGTCCGGTCTTGAAGTCGCGAATAATTCGTCGCACAGAGTCCTCTGTTGGCATAGCAAAGTAGATTGCCTCAACATTGGCAGACGGCGAACGTCTCTTTTCCAGATTCTCCAGATCTATTTTTTTTTTTTTTTTTTCGTACAAAGAAAGACGAACGAACGCGTGGAGAAAAATCCCAGGTCAGGAGGCCATGGTTGGTCGATAAATGACTTTCATGATACAATGACAATGTCGATGAAAATAGGGCTGAAAGACCAAGCAAAGGCTCCATCGGCTGTTCTTATTCCTTTGCCCGTGTTTTCCTGGTTTGCTTTTCCCCCCCTCCTTCTCGAAATAGAAACAAGCATTAAAACGATGAAGACCCACTTACACATGGTGCCCTCGCGTGCCAAGACATCAGCCAAGTGACATCCGGCTGAGGTCATGATCTCGGATGCACGCGCATCGACAATCACGTACTTGTAGCGACCTGGTTCCACCTTGGCATTGTCAATAGCCTCCAGGAATCCTAAAAAAAAGGAGCAATAACTTTGAGTGAGACCCACCAAACTTATTGCCCATCAACCCCCCTGTCCCCAATGGCACACAGCAACAAAGGCAGCCCGAGACAATTTTTGGGATGGTTACATGGTCTTCATGTAGGCCAATGTCCAGTCCATAAGAACTTACGGCGCTTTAAAGTATCGGTTATTGAGATAGGCTGATTCATATGTGGGGGTTGCCGACGGGTGGTTTCAAGCGACGTGTAGAGCGACCAGGGATAGTATCGATACGATCAATTGAATAAGAACCGAATACGTTGTTGTTTTTTTAAGAACCAGTTGCGGCAGTAAAAAAGTTGAGAGAGTAGTAACGGGATTAACGAGCGAAATTTATTGCCGAATGATGAAAGCAGAAGGGAGGGATGTGAATGTCGATGGTCAACATCGCAACCATGCGCGCTTTTCTTTTTTTTTTTTTTTTTTTTTTTTTTTTGGTCGGTCCCCTCAACGAGCTCAGCCAATGACGTGCCTTCGCTCGTTGGTCCACATTTGGGCAAATGCATATTTGATCATGTTGGGTTGGGCTGCCGCGAAGTCCAGGTTTTGATAGACCCATCAACACTTGCAGAACACATCCTGTCTTCTGTCGGGTGGTAGGCAATGGACGACACAATCTTGGAATGCCCTTCGAGCTGGTGGACAACTTCGCCCTAGATAACAAAACCCAGTTTGGCAAGATTAGAAAATAACAATTGTATCTGGTATCTCAATTCCTTTTTTTCTTTTTGCTGTTGTTCTTTACCTCCATGAGATCCCAGATATAGATCTTTCCATCCTCTGATCCACTGATAACATGCGCGTCCGAATTGGAAAGGCATGACCGGATCTTGTACTGACTGTTCTTGTGACCCTTGTACGCGTTCAACATTCCGCCATTTGCACGATCCATGAGCCGCACAGTGTCGTCCAAAGAACTCGCCAGTACACAATTGCCATCCTTTGAAAAAGTAACCGACGTGATGGGTTCTACTCCATGGTAAATAATAAATGCATACATTCCGCTTTTTTTTTTTTAGTATCCTGCGCAACCAAAAAAAAAAAAAAAAAAAAAAAAAAAATGGACGACCTGCAACAAACGACAACCCAAAGGACCTACCGAAAATTTGGTCCGCGATCAACGATCCCATCCTAATATCGTATATCCTTATAGATCCATCCACACAACTATTCCGGGATGGAAAGCGTTGGCATTAGCTCCTCAGTCATCATTGTTCATTCTTTCATTGATACATCTCTGGAATAGACTAAGTAGATAAAAGTACCCTGCCAGCAGATCGCTTCCTTGGATGTGAATCGATGTCACACTGTCCTTTGGTTCCTCCAATACCTGGATCGGTGCTCTCAACTGCGACCTATTTTTCGATGAAAGGACCAAAGGATGATGGATTTAATAAAGCATCAGACTTGGTGAATTCTGTCCTGACGACTTTTGGGCGCGAATATGTGCAAGTTAGTACCTGCAATCCCACAGTCGTATTGTCGTATCATAAGACCCTGTGGCGTTATATCAGGATAGCACATAGTTAATAAGAGAGAGGTTTTGTTCTCACTGTACCATAGCAATGCCCTCCTGTTCCTCCTTTTACCTGACGCCAGCACCGTCCCTTCTTCATTGAAATCTACTGCATTGACTCTCTATGCAATAGCATGAACTAGAAATGTCAGAAAAAAGAAAAAAAAAACGGTCGGCATATCTTGTAAACAAATCCATGCCACCCTGTATTTTTTTTTTTTTTTCGCCAAAGCATTCTCGCTTTTTTTTTTACCTGAGTATGTCCGCTAAACCTCCGTATCGTCATCCCGGTGAGCACATCCCACAGGAACACGGACTTATCGCCTCCACAACTTGCAAACTTGCCGTTCTCGGGCGAGACAGCCAGATCCAATACCTCCCACCCATGCGCCTCATACGTCTTGATACAGAACCGTGTCTCTGGATTCCACAGCCGAACCGTCCGATCTACTCCACCTGCGAGGATATATTCCCCGCTACTGTTGTAGACGCAAGCATTGATCTGTGATCCTGTGGCGTCTGACACAACTGTGTCCTCGTAGATTGGGAGGGACGCCGTTGATGTGGATTGAGACGCTATCGAGGGTTTCGTCCGTCCCGTCGTAGGCGTTTGCGGAAAATTGTTGCTGACGCTGTGTGATTGTGCGATCGACGGTGGTCTAGGCGGTGCGACAAGAGAGGTAGAGGTAGTGGTGGAGGTAGAGGGGGACGGTGCTACAATTGAATGAGAACTTGAATCTGTCGAGAGTCCTGCTCGCGTGGGCGGTGGCTGTTTTTTGGGCGTTTTCTCGGTCTTGTTCCTGTGTGCAGCCAGAGTCGCCGCAATCGACATCGCTGGCAGCGCCGATCCCCTCGAAGAATCTTTGGGCATGGTGTTGGTTGAATGAACTTGTCGTTGATGAAAAAAAGGCATTCATGCCACCACAGCCGCTCCTTTTCTATTCCAAACTTTATTATTTTTATTGTCAAGTTTAAACTACAAGGCTGCCAAAGTCAAGTGTCGTTATTATAATATTCACAAGTCCATGTTCAGCTCGTCGTCGTCGTCTTCGCCGCTCTCAGTCCTTTTGCCCGTATTGTAACTTGGTGCAGCTGCAACGGTCCTGGTTCCTCCTTTCGTGCCGCTCTTTCTCTCACTGCTTTCTTCATCGTTGTCGTCCTCGTCCTCGTCCTCGTCTTCGTCTTCGTCTTCAATGAGATGATGTCCGAGTTTGACCGCCTCCTTCATCTTGTAGTGTTCTGCACGCATCTTTGCAAACTTGTCATGGTCCACTATAAGTAATTGGAATAAAAAAAAAAAGAAAAAAAAAAACCGGATATTACGTCAATCGTTGTGTTATGTTATGGCATACATTTACAGGTGCGCCCTCCGCACATGGTGTAATACTAACCCGAATTGCTTCCAGACTTCCTGTCACTATCATCATCTTCATCATCCGAGTCCTGCCACTCGTCTGGATCCCGCTCCCTATTGTCGCCTTCATCGCCATCATCATCTTCATCGTTGTTCAGACTCGCAAGATAGGATGGGACAGGAGGTGTATGTGCCAAGGCTGCGTGCTTTTTCCTTGGGCCATCTAACGAGAATACCTCTAAACAAGCGGAGCACAAAAGATGTTAATGAAAGAACAGAATTAGCCTTTTTTTTTTTTTTTTTTTTTTTTTACTTTTACTTTTGTCCAGGAACTGCATGTATAGAGACAAAAGGTCCATCTACCTTCAGGATCCATGACTCTATCCAGCACATGGTCGTAATGGACATAGGGCGTCTTGGGTTCGTCAATCTTCATGGTCGAATCCTTTTGTGCTTCTGTGATCATTAAGTTTTCTTCGTCCCATTTGAGCCTATCGGGCAAAGAAGAAAAAAAAAAAAAAAAAAACGCGGAAACGCGTTTAATCGAAGCCCCCCAAAACGAGAAAGCGTGGGTGGAGGGAATTCTAGTTTTCTCGGTATGTGTGTGTGGTATATACGACTCTCTCTCTCTCTCTCTCTCTCTCTCTCTCTCTCTCTCTCTCTCTCTCTCTCTCTCTCTCTCTCTCTCTCTCTCTCTCTCTCTCTCTCTCTCTCTCTCTCTCTCTCTCTCTCTCTCTCTCTCTCTCTCTCTCTCTCTCCATGCAAAAGTCCAGCGCTTTTCCTGATCAGTCTAATGCCTCCTCCATCTCTCCGGCGCGCTCACCTTGTCGTGTTCTCGTCATGTGGGTCCTGTTGGTCTTGATGCTGGTGTGAGTCCATTGTCTTTTTGAGGATGCCCCTGACAGGATGATGCTGCTCGTCTGAGGACCCCAGTATAGGGCTGTGTCGATGAGGTGGTTCCATGAGCTTGCAGTTTTTTTTGGTCGTCTGCTTGAGGAATGTTAGAAAGGTGGATTCAAAAAGAAAAGAATGAGAACAGGTTCCAACGGTCTTGTGCCACAAGCAAGCAAAGCAAGTAGAGGGGATTCTCCAGTCACGCGCCACCAAAAAAAAAAAAAAAAAAAAAAAAAGCACAGCACAGCAGCAACATGTAATATACACTACATGTTGGCAAACCTGCCTGGGTCCGACATGGCATATAAAGAGAAAGAATGGAGCACCGTTCCCTCGAAATCCATCCTGATCACAACCTCTTCCTTCCCTCGAGTATGGCATGACTCTCATTGAAGGAAACGCCACGGTCATGACAAGACGTCAAAGCCTCCTCGTCCCCCCTTCCCCGCCTCCCAACTGGCACCCCCTCTCTCATTCCCCATTTCACCTCTACTCTCGCCCTAAAAACTCCTTCTCCAGAGCTTCCTTGTATCTGGGTCTGGTGTCCCTTTCTCCTTCTCTCTCTATTTCATCTTCTCCGGTCCGAACGTGGGTCTTCAAAGTTCAAACAACATTTACAATTGAGTTTTCAATTGAATTGATTACGGGACTGTTACGCCCAACCCATCCATCCCCATTTCTTCAAAATTCGATTGCATGCGGCCGGTGGTCTTTCACCAGAACGCGAAGAAATAAAGTCCTGAGAATTGTGTCACCTCAAGACTGATACATTTACAAAACTCGGGCCTTGAAGAGCGAGGATGGATGGCTTAAAAGTTTTATTATTAGTCAAAAGAACTCTCTATCTGACTTCCTCCTCACACTCACTCTTACGCAGAAGTACTCTCAGCTCCCTCTGCCGTCGTCGACGCTGCGTTCTCTCCTGCTGCTGCTGCTGCTGCTGCTGCTGTTGACGATGAAGCTTTTTGCGCAGCGAGTTGCCATGCTGGGATCGATGCCTTGTTGTTCAAAAAGCTCATCGCACCCGTTGCCTCCTCAGGCTTGGGTGTCGACACTGCCATCGCAGTCGTAGTCGCACCGGGGGTGCTAGGCTGCGAAGGCGTCGCGTATGCGGCACTCCATGGCGCTGCGACCGACCCTGCGGGCGACGCGGGCGCACCGGGTCCACGACGGTTAAGAAGCAAACTCTTGAGCGACTTGATCTCCGTCTGTAGCTCGTTCAGCACATTCGCCTGCGATTCCTTGTTCTTTTCCATCAACTGTACGCCGTCGTGAAACAACAGGGAATAGCAAGAAGGGATAACAGGAGAGAATAGGAAGGAGGAATATGAGGAAGGAGCGAAAGATAGAGCAAGAAAAAGAAGAAAAAAAAGTTAACGACTAGCTGGTATCAACAACAAGTTCCTGTATGGGAAGGATATAGTTTACATAGCTATTCCTTCTTACCTTAGGGATCATAGTTTTGATGTTCTCGATGTCAGACTTGAGTCCCGATAGCTCCTGCTCTCGCTTCTCATCGTTTGTCTTCATGCTATCCAGCACACCGGTCATGCCCTCGAGTGACTCCTTCACATGCGCAGTTTGGTCCTCCACATTCTTGGCCACCGTCGTCGTGCTGTCCTTGACCTCCGTCAGACTCTTCTCGATCTCCTCAAATTGCTCGTCCAGCTTCTTCTTGTCCAGCTCAAGCTCCTCCTGTGAGGGCCATTGCAGCTTTGGACCAACCACTTTCTATTTGCACAGGGATAATGATAATGGTAATAATAAAGAAGTGTGAGTGAGTGAGAGGAACAATAGACATGAAGTCATTAGGGTTTTCTCCAACCGATCCGGTCGCCCTTGATCCGCTTTTTTCTTCCCTCAACCAACAGACTCCTCTTGAAGCCCTCCTTACCTTCGTAACCTGCCACAGTCCATAACTGAACCCTCCTGCGACGACTGCCGCAATAAACATATCCTTCCAATCATACTTCTTCGGCAGCGGTGGTGGCGCCATCATCACCTGTCCTCCCGGTCCCTGCACCGCTCCATACGGACCCATCGGTACCATCGCCCCCGCCGACACAGGGACTGCGGGGACGACTGCGACTGCACCAGCAGCCGAGGCCGTACCGTTCGCACGTTGCATCGCCTCCTCGATCTCTTCCGAGGTCAGACCCTTGGATTCCAGAAAGGCGACTTTTTTGCCCAGGGCCGAGGCCTGCACTTTGGGGTCCTGCAGGAACTTGACCGCAGAGGCCAGGATATCTTCACGCTTTCCAGACATGGTGTTTCGTTCGTTCGTTCGTTCGTTCGTAGCCTGTTGTTTTCTTATTCTTTTGCTCCCTTGCTTATCTGTTCCTGGTTGCTTTTGGGAGATCGTATAGGTAGGGGTGATCGCGGTGATTTGTCTTCCTGCTCCTTTATTTGGTGGCCTGTGTAGGTAAGGGTTGTTGTTGGGGAGGGGAGTGGCGTGCAAAGGAAGAATGAGCAAGACGAGGGAGGGAGAAGAGAGAGAAGAGAGAGAGAGAGAGAGAGAGAGAGAAAGAGAGGAGAAAGTGGATGAGAAGATGAAAGAAGAAAAAAAGGAATGAGGTGTCTCTTTGGGTCGTCGGCTACAGGAACGGACGGTCTCCGGTCCTCTGTGGAGAAAGCGGGCAGCTGCACCGTAAAGTGTGTGTGTGTGTGTGTGTCTGCAAGAGGTTTGCCAGTCATGTTTTTCATGTGCCAACTTTGTCTTTGCCCGGAACACGCTCTCAGTGGTCGATCCACACTCCTCCCATTCCACAGCGCAAATCCTCCCCTTGTAGTCGAGATTTAGTATTCAATAGTCTAATATATATATCAGCGTGATCCCTCTTCGTCGACAGCATCATCCTTTCTCAACCTCACCCACCATCCCTATACTCAACACGAATCCTAAGACTGAACCATCAAGAGTTCTACGGCTCATAGGATCTAAGGAAAGAGCGAGATTATCTACCATCTTAGAAAATAGAAACCCACAGAAAAAAGAGGCCGGCCGTCTGACATGTCGGCTATCTGGTAGACCATCGATGAAGCAACGTCTATCGAATCTAGGCGCGTGCTTTCTCACCTGGCTTCCGACGTGAAAACCCCGCTCTGGATCGAATCCAATTGCTGGCACATAAGACAGACGATGAGGACGGTTACGAGCAGGAGGAGGGGGAGAAGGAGAGTAGCGATTTATAAGTTTTGTGAACACAGACATATCACAATATGTATTTAAATTTCCACTACAAAAGATTTTTGCGCTGAAGATTATTTTTTACGCAGACTTGGCGCGTTCAATGAACGCCTTGATCTTCTGCTCGTCCTTCTCCCCGTTCGTCTCCACACCGCTCGACACATCCACGGCCCACGGTCGAACCTGACGCACAGCCTCCGCAACATTCTCAGGGTCCAGTCCACCGGCCAACAGCACAGGGAACCCTCCCTCCTGAGACTCAACCACTGCCTTGGCAACCGACCAGTCAAACGTCTGGCCCTCTCCTCCACCATAGCCACCAGCCTTGCCTGCAGCATCCAGCAAACAATACGCGTTCAGTCCGCGGGTGCCCGCAACTGTCTGGATCACATCCTTCGGGTTCTCGTCACCACGGATATGGAACGCCTTGATCACCGGGACAGGCAAGAACTTGGCCATTTCCGGGTTCTCACCTCCATGGAACTGCACCAGATCAATCTTGAGTGTATCGACCACCCGCGTGATCTCCTCCAATGACTGGTCTCTGAACACGCCTACAAGCATCGGTTTCCGAGGGTTGCGTTCTGCTCTCCTGGCATGCATTTGAAACCAATCCTCGTTCGCAACACCGTCCGTCTTGCCGTTCAGAGCCCCATGCGGCCCTTGCAGATCATCCCCGTCCGCCGCCGCCGTCGCATTGGCGTACTCTCGCACCGCCTCCACAATCTCTGCCGCGACCGGCAACTTGACCTGACGCTTCGACCCCTCTGCAAAGATCATCCCGATCAAATCCGCGCCAGAGTCCGCCGCCTGCAACGCCGCATCTATCGTCTGGACCCCGCAAATCTTGACCAGCACCTTTGACTGCTCCTCCTCTGCTTTCAGACCCAGCAATCCACGGATGAACGCCCTCTTGTCCTTCGACAGCATCAGCGCCTCGCCGACCAAGACACCAGCAACACCTTGCTCGACATACCGCTCCACATCCTCGCGTCCCTTGATCCCGCTCAAGGCCACCAGGAGCGTTCCCTCGGGCACCATATTGACAAGCTTGGTCGTCGTCTCCATATCGACCTCAAAGTTGTGCAAATTCCTGTTATTGACTCCAACGACCTTGGCTCCCAATTCGATCGCGACCTCCATCTCCTGTGCATTGTTGACCTCGACCAAGGGCTCGATTCCCAGCTGGAGTGCAAACTTGTAGAGCGTGTGCAATTGCTCAACCGAGAGCATCGCCACGATCAACAGGATCGTATCCGCTCCATAGACGCGCGCCTCCAAGATCTGATACGTGTCCACAATAAAGTCCTTGCGCAGAACTGCAGGTCGGTTGGGTAAACTGTCGATCATGGCCCGAACGACCCGCATGTCGTTCAACGATCCCTTGAACCACTTGGGCTCCGTCAAAACACTGATCACACTCGCACCCGCGCGCGCATACGCCAGAGACTGCTCCGCAGCATTGGCCCCCAGATCAATGTTACCCTTACTGGGGCTCGCGCGCTTGATCTCTCCCATGACCGCCGGCAAAGGCTGACTCTTACGGATGCGTGCCACAAAATCAATCTGCTTCGGTGCCAATCCAAGATCGATCAATTTCTGGAGATCCGCAGCCGACTGTCCTGGAAGCGCCTTGGCGGCGGCGACGTCCTGAAGGCGCTGTTGCAAGATCTTAGTGAGGATGCTGGGGGTAGCTGCCTTGGCTGCCTCGGAAGAACCAACGGGCTTGACGTTCGAGTCGACACCGTATTGTGGGTTCTCCTTCCAGGTGCCTCCCTGGAGCTGCAAAAAGTTGTTGAAAAGGGTCTGTCCGTGCTCGGAGAGGACACTCTCGGGGTGGTACTGCACACCTTCGACACAGAGGGTCCTGTGGCGAACGCCCATGATGACACCGGACTCGGTTCTGGAGGTGACCTCGAGGGCCTCAGGAACGGTCGAGGTGACGCCCGAGAGGGAGTGATAGCGTGTGCAGAGGATATCCTGGGGGATGTTAAGGTAGAGTCCCTTGCCGTCATGCTTGATGGGCGAGACCTTTCCGTGGACAATCTCTCCTGCAAAACCAACAGTGCCGCCGTAAATCTCAAACATGCATTGCTCGCCCAGACAGACACCAAGGACGGGGATCTTGCCGGCAAAGTGCTCAATCGCTGGCTTGGAGATACCGGCAGAGTCGGAGGGGTGACCAGGGCCGGGCGAGATGACAAGGTGAGTCGGGTTCAGGGCGACGATCTCTTCGAGAGAGATAGCGTCATTGCGGAAGACCTTGACATCTGCGCCGAGGATGCAGAGGGACTGATAGATGTTCCAGGTGAAACTGTCATAGTTGTCGATCATAATAACTGCCATGGTGAGGAAAACTTACTCCTTGCTGGGGTCGTACACGTAACAATAAAAAAAAAGAAAGAAAACGATATTAGAGTGAGGCATACAATTGGTGGCAAATATGAGCAAGTCCCTGGGATCCACTTACAGTTGCAAGGGAAGGAATTAGGGAGGAGGTGATAGTTGAGAGGGGGAGAAGAGTAAGGAGGAGGATGAAAAGAGTGGATGGAATGGAATGGAGGATGAAGGATGAGGGATAAAGGAGAAGGGAGAGGAGCGAATGAGGGGAAGCAAAAAAGCGCAAAGTACAGTCAGTGTATATATTATTTTTTTTACGGCACACCCACACCAAGCCAGACAACTCGGACGCCGTTTACACTGACTCACAATCGATGGGGAAATGAAATGCGTTCAACTGTAGGACAAAAAAGAAAAGAAAAAAGCACCCTCCATCGAATACGCTGTTTCTGAGTCAGTCAAGCAATACTGGCGTTGACAATCCACGGCTCCACGCACACAAATACCATTGTCAATGAAGCCATATACCCCATGCGTATTATCCTGCTTAATAAAACATGTTCTGTCACAGCAAACCATTTCAACAAGATAAAGCACATTGCCAGGGGGGGGGTTTTTTTCATTTTTTCATTTTTTAATAATAATATACAAGTCTCGACAAAGCAAGGCCGGTTGGATGAGAAAAGAGGACGATACAATGTCCGTTCTACAGAAAATAAAATAAAAAAAAAGGAACGAGAAATACTTCTTGGGTTGTAATACCAAAGGGGACAAATGACAAATATGAATACACACAAGGGCCAGAATGAGCAGGCATGAATGAGAATGAGAATGAAAATAAAATAGCAGAGCTGGTGGTCGCTTTGTCGCGATACGTCGCCACCGCTTCTTTTTTCTTTTTTGTTTTTTGTCTGTCCGCAATATCCGCTCCGCCCCAACGATCGAATCGTAAAATATAATAAAGATAGCGATGACAAACAGACAACACGTAAAAATACAAAAGTATCGATGGCAAGGCCAAGGTCGTGGATGCCATTGAGCACCCAAGTGAATGGTGCGCGAAGAATGGGGAAAAAAATAAAAATAAAAATAAAAAGATGTCAATGAATGTTAATACAAAGAATAGAAAGAAAAAAGAATCGGTTAAATAAGCAAAGAATGCTTCGAGGACAAGCACAGCATCTCTACCAGATGCACGTTGATCCTGTTATGCGGCCACCTTGGTCGGATCGGCAGTCGCAACACCTACAGCGTCATCCAAAGGCGTACTCTCGCCACCGAACCCATCCTGGGGAGGGGCAGGCATCGTCAGTGTACGGCCACGCAGCTTCCTGAACTTGACATTCTCACGCCTCTCGATCTCAACATCGTCTCGTGCTGTCAACTCCTCGATGGTCTTTTCCCCGACTGTGTAACGGATCACCTCCTTTGGCTTTGGAGGTGGGGGCACAGGCACTGCCGGCAAAGAACTGCGCCTGACAATAGTCTTCTCCTTTGATCCTATTGCCTTCGTAGTGACCTTGGTGACCTTGGTGATCTTGGTAACTGTGCTGACCTTTGTCGTTTTTGCTGAAGTGGGCTCGGAAGATTCCTTTGTGGCCACCTTCTTTTTGAGCGTCGCAGCGACAACCTTGCTCTTGGCTGGCGTAGGGGCCATACTGGTCTTTTTCGTCTTTGTTCCTGCAACCTTGGATGCGGACTCTGACTTGCCCTTCTTGCTGAGGGTCGCAGCATCTGTCTCCTGCTTTATCGGCGACACGATCTTGCCCATCGTCGCTTTCTTGCTGGTCTTGGGCTTTCCGGCCTCCACTGCATTTTCGCTGGCTTCGATCTGCTTGATCAAGACGCTGCTGATTTTGGGCGCAATGTGAGGACCTGGAGGGTAAATACGGAGGTTGCCACGAATGATGGGTGCTACCGCAGCCGGTTTGGACGCCATGGGCTGACCCGATCCATTGGCAGGCTGCATACTCGAAACCGATCCATTGGCGAGTCGTTTCTTGACTTTGGGCTTCGGCATGTCCGCGTCATCATCCTGAGCCACAGACATCGCCTTTGACTTGGTCGTCTTTGGCTTCTCCGACCCTTCCGTCTTGATCTTCTTGGTCCTACCCTCTCTGACCTTTGAGGACGCACCAACCTCGCCGGCGGTAGAATGCTGAGAATCAATGTCAGCTTCAGATCCAGTGGCAAGAGGACGCTTGGATCCATGAGGCAACGCCTTGCCCAGTGCACGGGGTGCTGCAGCTGTTTGATAGCCTGCATTGCTGACGGAATAGCTCATGGCCGTGTCTGCCAGGACCATCAGTGCCTCGTCCAGCTCCGGGGAGTGACTGTGGTGATGCTGATGTTGGAAACTACCAGCTGTTGGGGAAGATTCTCCGCTCGATCCCTGGCTCTCGTCTGAAGAGTCACAGTCTTCACAGTTCCAGCTGTAGCCACTATAAACAGTATTCGATAAAAAAAACCCAAGTGCACGTTAGCAACAAATATCTTCAAATATCCAAACCATAAACATCAGTGAGTTGGAGTATGGGAAGTACATACCGAGGAGGCACGCGCGCCATGGGTGGGTTGAGACACCTTGGATGGAACTGTCTCTGGCAGGTATCACAGCTAACCATTCGATTCAACATCTTGATCGTCAACGGGGATAAGACACCGTTCGCATCACGTTCCAGCTCCATCTTCTCCTCAGGAAGCGTCAATTGGTGGCAAACTGTGCAAGGTACAATAGGTCGTGCGATCTTCACTGCCGACATGCCGCCTAGCTGGCCTGAATGATAATCGGAACCAAACATCGATCCATTCGATCCATTGCCCTTGGTGTTGGTAGTGATGTAACAGTCGTCCGGGTCTGAAAAGTCGCGCTTGATCAAGCGTCCCCTGCTTGAGGTGAATACGACAGGCAGCGAGTTCTTGTTGGCCAAGGTTGGTTTCGGGTACACCTTCTTGGACTTTACATTCTTTCCTGCGCCATAGCCTGCCTTACTGCCCTTCCGTGACAATTTGCCATAAATTTTCTTGGAAGACCGGCCATGGCGCTGTCCACCTTCACTGTCGTCCAGGCCAGAATCCACATGTCCATGCGATCCGGGCTGTGTATAGGGGTTGTCACAAGCAAGGGAGCCGATATCGATCGTCTCGATAATATCCTGGATGTTGCTTTTCCACCGAGATGTGTCTGGTAGAGAGTTGTACCAGGCCAAGGTAGTGTCAATGGAGAGCGGGGCTTCCAGTTGCTCATCAGAGACACTTTCGAGATAATTGGCGCACTCCAGCAGACTGGACAGGAGGTTCCGGGTGTGTAACTCAATCCGACGCTGCTCCAACAACGCCTGCTCCGCCTTACTTGAAATGACCTCGAGTCGAGACCGAGACTTGTCAATTTTGTTACCAAGATAGTAGCCGATAGAGTACTGGCGCGAGAGCTCGCTTCTCTCCTTTGCAATCCGTTTCTCCCTAGCCTGCTTGAACCGAGAGTAGGAATGCTCAAAGAATTCAACAAGGCCCTCTCCGCCGTCCTCGTCTGAGGTCCCACTCTGTTGCATCTCGATCAATCGCATGGTACGCTTTCGGCCCTGCTCCTCCTGCCATTTTTTGAGGAATGCGTCCCGTTGCTTGACCCATTTTGCCCAGCCATTGAGTTTGGGATGTCCATCGGCAGCACCATGCTGTTTGCAATACATAAAGTACGGGTCAGCCATATCAGAGTCTTCAATGGTCTCCAAGAGCGAGTATCCTTGTGCGCAAGTGATATGGAACGACTTGCGGCATTGACCTGCGTCACACTGCACACATGCACCCAGTCCGGCATCCTGAGGATCGCTACACATGTAGCATGTCTGAAGAAACAAGGCAGATTGTGTTTTCAGAATATCAGCGAAAGCAATTAAAAGCGACCATGGCAATATATATCCTGTCGTTGAAACTGCCGATAAAAAGATGTTCTTGCCGGCGACTTACCAAATTCCAGTTTTTCTCAGGTATGTCGCGGACGGAAATCCTGTCCACGTTGTCAGGATCACCCAGTGTCGTCTCTGGCAGCCAGAGTGCGCAAACAACGTGCACCCATCCACCGCTTGGGTCCTCTGGGATAAGTCTTCGGAACGCGCCATCTTTGGAGGGGCAGCAAACGCAGGACTAAGAATAGAAATTGTATGTGAAGTCATATTATTATTGTTTTTCCCGTTAACAAAAACTCTGTTTTTCATGGTAAAACATCAGTGGTAAAAAAAAAAAAAAAAAAAAAAAGGATGAAGCGGAAAGGAGGAAATTCTTACCACAACTTCTTCTGGGGGTGCCTTGCAACGATCACACAACCATGGCTCACTCTCTGAGGGAAGTATCTTGACGCCGTAGCAGGCTTGGTGGACACACAGGGCGCAGTCGAGAGTGTCGCAGTATACAAACACATTATCCGCCTCTGTCGATCGACCCAGGCACACACAACACACCTCAGGATCATTGTCTTTCTATGAATCAAATGTCAGCATAAAGAAAAAGGAGGGAGCGTTAACGGGTGAACGAAAATCAATACTATAGCCCGCCACACTCATAATATAGGAGGGAGGGAAGAAGGAAGGTCGACAGCAAAGAAAGGATCGTATCAAGTACACATACCCATTGCCACAGCGCGGTCAAGAGATCTTGCTCGTCACTGAACGTTACTTGCTGATCAGGCTGGACTTCGTCTTCGCTGGCAGCATCCTCGGGTATAGCCATATCCTCTTCCTCGTCATTGCTATCAACCTTGGTATCCTCAAAGTCCGAATCGTCCTCGTCGGCTACAAGATCCATAGGGATCTCGTGGACGGACTTTGTTTTGATTTTGCGCTTGCCTGGATCACGATCTGCGACTGGACAGTAGAATATAGAGAAACACACAAAAAAAAAAAAAAAAAAAACCAGTCAGTCAGCGAAAAAAACTGCAGTTGAAGCAAATACTGCTTGGTGGATCTTGTTGAAGAAACAGAGCACTTACAGATCTTTTGAAAGAGACTGGCGGTATCGTTCTCACCCTTCTTGATGGATTCAGTTTTGGCCTTTTTCTTTGCGGGCATGGTCGTAACTTCCTTGGATCTGCCTGCTGCTGAAGTGGTCGAGGGGCTTGCAGAGTTCATTTGACGACTCCCACGCTTGAGCCCGGCTCCCACGGGGCCACTTGACTCTGTCGGGGGGTTCGACTCCAATGCGATGCCCTCAGAGAAAGCCGGGAGGGGTGCTGGAGATGTGTGATCCGGCTCCAATGCGTCTGCTGACTTGCTCACGATGTGTACCCCTTTTGGCTCTGAACTGACATCATTCTTTGGTTGACGTGGATCCTGCTGTTGATCCTGTGAATTTGGGGACCCTTTTTGGATTTCCACTGGGATTGGATCGGTCTCGTTCTCTGGCTGCTGCAAATCCCGGGGTGGTGATGGCGGCGGCAGTGACAGTGGAAGCGCTAGTGGTACCTCTTGCTGATGTTGAAGCTGGTGGAAATGTGGGTGGTGGTTCTGCAGATGCTGTGAATAGGCACCGAGATCCTTTGCAGACCGACCGGGGCCGTTGTGACTATGATGAGTGTCCTGGTCCAGCTCTTGGTGTTGCTGATGATGTTGATGCGACTGATGCTGCTGCTGCTGCTGTTGTTGTTGCTGTTGACCGACCATCATCATCATTGGCATGTCACTGTACTCTGGAGGAAACGGAGGTGGACAGTGTTGAGGAGGCACCATGCTTTATGATCTGGATATGAACTCTGTAGCAGTTTGGAGACTATGGACAGGATATTGACGGACAGCGGCAATCAAGGCGACCATGAGGACAGCAGCAACAACAAGGGAAGCGAAACAAAAAGGCATAATGGGTTAGTGGCAACCTTTGGCTTTCCCCCCGGATCGTGCTAAGACATATCCATGCACACGATCAACACACACAGAGTGAACAAGAAGAAGGGCGCGATTTGAAGAAGAGGAAGAAGAAGACGAAGAAGGGATATATTACCACGGGTCAGACTGGGTTGAGCAATCGCACTCCCCACAGCTACAAGAGAGGGGGAAGGTTGCAGTGGGTGGGTCGAGAGGGTGGAGTTGCGAGAGGAGGATGGTGTGGAGGAGGAGGAGGAGGGGAGGGGAGGAATCAATGCATGGATGAAAAGAAGGAGCAGATATGGGGGAGCGGGGGGATGAAGATAATGGGGGGGGAGGGGTGATGAAGAGAGGAAAGAGAAGAAGAAGAAGGAAAGAAGGAAAGAAGGAAAGAAAGGAAGGGAGGAAAGGCTGAAGGACAGCAAAAAAAAGAAAAAAAGAAAAGAGAAAAAAAAACTTTTTCTGCGTTCTGGGACGAGGAGAAGCGACAGAGAGGAAATCGAAATTCCGCCAGAGCTCATTTGGCGTGCCTGGCTAATTTTTTTTTGTTATTTCCCTTGCCTGCTACCCCTCACCCTTCACTTCTTTCTTCATCCTCTCCAGACACACCCCCACTGCCTCCCCTCTCTCTCTCTCGTTCTCTCCTCCCCATTCTGCCCATGTCTCTGGTGGGTGCATCGCTACGGGGCGTGTGGGGGGGCCATGCGGGTGTGTTGCAAGGTGCATGGGTGGGGGTGGGGGGTGGCTACAAGGTTTCTTGGTTTCTCTTTGGCAAGTGGGCCAACTCTTTTTCTTTTTTTTCCTGCCTCTTTTGTTTCCTGCACACCCACCCTCTGTCGCCATCCATCCGTAGTCCACGGGAAAAAGAAGCCGTGCCATCACCACCACCAGAGGACAGACCTGTCACAGAAAAAGAGGGGGGGAAGTGAAAGGGAAAACACAACCTTCTTTACTTCTTCTTCCTCTTCCTCTTCTTCTTCCCCTTCCTCCTCCTCTTCCTCCTCCTCCGCTCACCCGGTCCGCACCAGACCCCTCCTACTCTCTTTCTCTCTCCCAGCCCCACTCGACCTCGCCCCCTTCAATTGCCCATGGCCACCAATCCACCCCAAGCACAGTCTGGGTACGTAGCCATACTCAGGTACAATGCCTGGTGCTAGTGCAAAATCTGCTTCTCCATCAAATTCCATTCTCAGCAGAGTGTGAGTGGAAGGAGGATCCGACTCGGACAGAGGTCACAGATCAGAGAGAGAGATATAGCTCGCCACTCGACCTGAACCCGGCATTCACTCAACCAATCCGGTACTTTGGGAAGGGTGGGTCCCCAATCAGATCCATCAATTGATCTCTGCTCTGCACCTTACTTGCTTCACCGCCCCCCCTTCCACGTTATTATTATCAGACTCGCGTGCATGATCCAGACATGTTTCTTTTTTTTTTTTTTCTTTGCAGTTGATAAATAAAATAAAATAAATACCGATCATCCGAGCAGTAGGGCGAAGACCCAATCATAGGAATGCAGGGAAGTTACACTTCTATTTTATATTTCTTTTTTGTTGTTTTCTTTGTTCCCAGGTGACCCCCTCTTCCCCTTCCCCCCACCACCCCCCCGTTCGATGGTTGCACAAACGTTGCACAACCTTTCTGCAGGAAATAAACAAACAATTGGGCGAATCCGTTTTTTTTTGTTTTGGTGATGAAATACTTACCTTGCTTGCATGGCTACCATTCATTCAGGTCCAAGGTCTAAGGGATATGTCATATGTCATAGACTAGACCATGCAAGGATAAAAAAAAAACTGCGCTTTTCGTGTCTCTCAGGAACGGACGCTAACACGAAATAACTTCCACACTCCGATTTCGGACAGTCGGGTTCCGACAGAATTCTTTGCGTCACCTTTCACTCTTTTTCATCCCTCATTTCCAGAGGAGTAATTTCTAGTGGAGTTTTTTTTTATTTATTTCTGTCCTCCCAAGATAAGGGAGCTGAGAGGAAAAGAAGGAGGAAAAAAAAATCCTATTTCTAGGGTTTGGAATGGTACAAGAAAGAGGAGAGAGGGAGAGGAGAGAGGGGGTAGGGGCGTGCAGCGTTCTTTTTTTTTTTTTTTTTTTTTTTTCGTCCTTCAGGGGCAAAGCAAGCACAGCGCACTGACCCCACAAGTGCAACAAAGAGCAACAGCAACAGCAACAGCAACAGAAAAGACCCTTGTCCCCCCCCCTCCCTTCTTTCCCCCATCCGAATCAGGTCTCTACTCAGGTTTCGCCCTGGATTCCTCACATCAAGCGTCGGCGCGTGTCCTTCGCTCCCCCACCCACCTTGACGAGACTTTAGTACCCCAGTCCCTTATTCAAACCATTCCTTGATACCTGCTTCATCCTCAGCCGTAACTGAGGATCGCCTCACAAAAGAGTTGCCTTAAAAATAAAAAAAAATAAAAAAAGCACGATGAATTTTTAATTGATTCTAAAATGAATGATGAAATGATAAAAAATGCTATGGTACAAGGGTGTTCCTGCTGTTCTGGCTTGCTTCCGTACGCCGACGACGATCAAGGGAGGGGGGAGGCTGCTCTATTACTTCTTCATCATCTTTTGCTTCTTGATGTGTGCATGCAATTGGACCTATTGTAGAGTTGTAGAAGAAAGAAAAAAAAAAAAAAAAAAAAAAAAAAAAAGTCAGTATTGCGCATAAAATATGTATACATCCTTCGGTTCAAGAAACGTGAAAACTCCTTGCTGCTTACCTGCTTCTCGCGGAGACTCATCTTCTTCTTTTCGCGGACTTCACGCTTGTGAGCAATCATCATAAAGTTCTTGCCCTTGGACTTCTCCTTGTTGGTCGTCGATCCACGCTCGGTCGAGCCCTTGCGCGATCCAAACTTATCACGACCCTCGCGTCCGTTCTTGATCGACTCCATGCGCTCAGCATAGTCCTGCTTGGCCTTCTTGCGTGGTCCGATAATCGACCCAATCGAGACCTCGCCCTCGGCCTGGTTCTCGTCCGTAGGAGCCGGACGCTTGCCCGATCCCGCGCGCGCAGGGTTCAACTTCTGATCTGCCTGTCTCGCCAGCTTGAGGGCCTCGATCTTTGCAAAATCTGCTGGTGTCAAGATCTTGGTCGTCGCCAGCAATTGGGCCGCAGCCAACTTTTCCTTGCGCTCGGCCGCCAGTTGCACACGCCTAGCCTTCGTCGCCTCATCCTCCTCCTTGACAGCGGTCTCGGACTCGTCATCCTTGGGCAACAATCCCTTCTTCCTCAGGCGACGCTCCTTGTTGGCGGTCAGTTGCTTCGGCCTAGGCTTCTTGTTTCCGTTCTCATCCTCTGATCCAGAGTCTTCATCGTCCGACAGCTTGATGTTGAGGTCATTCTCATCATCCGAGACATTCACCCAGCCGCCCCCTTCCTCATCCTCCTCATCTGAGGCCTCCTCCCACTCGTCCCAGTTGTCGCCGCCCTCGGTGCCGTTCTCGTCTACGTTCTCGGCCAAGAGCTGGAGTCCCTCCATATCGCCGTCGTTATAGCTCTCACCGTACATCGAGGGCTTAATGTCGCGCATGTTCATAGCCGCGCTGCGACCACGGTCCTTCTTCTTGAGCAACTCTGGGTTGATCTCACGGAAGAGGCCGATCAACGAGCGCGAGGCCATCATCACTCCCTTGTCTCTGTGGTTCTTGTAATCTGTCAGATCCTGAAGCAAGGTCGCCTCCATCGCCAGGGGGCAGCGCGCCACAACCTCACGGATACCATTCAGTCCTGCGGCCATGACCTCTGCAGAGCAATGCTCCGTCACAAAGTTGTTGGCCAGCGTCTGGATCACGGCCTCGATCACATCTGGAGGCACCAGGTCGTGGGATGCCTGTGCACTGATGGCAATGATCTGGGTCACGTCCTTTTGTGTAGGCTGAAGACGTTTCTGGAGGTACGGGTAAAAGGCGAGGACGGTCAACCTGTGGACACCAATGATTCGAGAGATCAGGTTCATCAACATGAGTTGAACCTCGTGACGCTCGCGAGACGAAGCCAAATGCGTGTACAGCTTTTCCGTGAATCCTGTTTGGCACGAGTCATGAAGTTATAGTAGCGAGTGTAATGATTAGGAACTCTACACTTTCCATGCTTTTTCTCTTTTCTTTTCTTTTTCTTTTCTTTTCAAAAAGCAACAAATCTTTGTTCGCTTTACGCTCCATGACTTACCCTGGGGATCGTTAAGGAGATGAAGGGCCGAAAAGTTGAAAGTCTCGGCCTTCTTCTTGGCCTTCTGCTTCTTCTTCAAGGTCGACATCATCTTTTCCATCTGCTTGGCCTTTGATTTTGTCTTTTTGCCGACATTCTGCTTGTGCTGCATCGCCTTGATGTCCGGCAACTCGTCCTCGTCCTCTGAATCCCCATCGTCCTCGTTGTTTCCCAAAAAGAACTGCAGTGCTGTGACCATGATCTTGGTGACGGGCGAGAAACAGGCATGAGCAATAACATTGACCGTCTTGGCATCGTTCCTATTTGTCAAAAAAAATAAAAATGAGAAATAAAAATAAAAAGCAACGTATTTTTCAGCGACAGATCCGTTTGCGCGATAAAAATCCAAAAGAGAGAGAAAAAAAAAACGATCAGGCTCAATGTCTACGTACCAAATGTTCTTGCGGTAGAGCTCGATACAGACGTCCAGACTACGCTTGGCAGCAATTGCATTCTCGCTTCCGGTTCCTGCAGCGCCTTCAGCAGAGGTCAACATGGTGTACATGAATCCCTGGAGGGTCTTGTTCATCTTGTTGTTCTTGGCCTTTTGGTTGCTGACCTTGATGTCGTTTACGATATGGTTGTAGAGGATGTCACGAAGAACCTTGTCTCTGCAGCGGAACAGGGTGAAGAACAGCGAGAGCAAGCTGGTGGACGAGATCATTTCTCTGTTGCGGAGGAGGACCAATGCCTGGACCATGGTGCGTCGGAGCTCAGCATCGAGAATCTGGTAGTGCTTTGACAACAGGGTGATAATCTGGTCCGGAAACTCTTTTGTCTCCTCTGGGTAGCATGGTGAAACCTATTCAGACAAACGTGTTGATTGTGAATACGGTGGGGTTTGGATGGGTGATAAGACGATCTGACATAGCATTGGGGATTCCATGAGGTCTATCTGTACCTGGGCAATAAAGTTGATGAGGTCCTGAAAATCGGTCGAGACTTCCTCGGGCTTGAGTTCAAAGATGGCCCTGGAGGACTCAAAGTGGCGGAGCTGCTGCAGGAACTCTTCCTTGTAGGAGAGGGGGTCTCGCTTGATGAGGTTCTGCAGCTGAGGGATGTTGGTAGGCAGCAAAGCGGCCCTGTTGCGCTTTCCCATGGCTTCTTATATGTAGTTAAACTTGGAGAAGGAGGGGAGAGGGGATGGGGTGATGGAGCAACGAGAAAAGGGCACAGCGGTTTCTGAATCAGCTCAACCCTTGGCTAGGCACAAAAAAAAAAAAAAAAAAAAATACACAACACAACACAACACAACACAACAAGCAACAGCAGTCACCGGAGAATCTGTGGGAGGAAGGGGAGGAGAAGTTTTTTTGCCACCAATTCTTGGAAATGAAACAAAGCGCCGATCAGTGATACAAAATGCGACGCCTCTCCTGATTGAACGAAGCGAACGGAGCGTGCTCGTTCAAAGTTGTGTTGGACGCCCTTTTTTTTATTACTACTACTATTACTATTACTATTATTATTATTGTTACATATCGTGTTGTTCTGTATTTTTGGAATGTCGGGAAACTGGAGGGACGAGGCACTGCCTCAGCAAAGAAACAGGGGGAAGCGGGTTGTTGCACTGTCGAAGCGACAGATAGACAGATAGACAGATAGACAGATAGACAGAAAAGAAGGAAAAGAAAGGTTGCGGTTGCACAGTTGGAGTGGACCCCGGTAAGCAAGGAGGGCGCAGGACAGTCAGTAGGGATTACACATGAACAAGATGACACACTCCAGGGTCCACAAGAATCAACAACAGCCCTCCGTCAGGATTTATCCATATTGCTTTTTTCCGCCACTGTGCGCCATGACAAAGTGAGGTGGGAGTTGCTTTGCATGCGGCGTATGCGGCCGGTGTCGCCTGTTGCGGGCTTGTATATGTCACAGGGCTTCAGCCTTTAAGCAGACAGGCAGGTGTAGACACGGGGGGAGGGGGGGAGAGTCGAGACCGCTACAATATCTGTCATGCCATATCTGTCTGTCTTGTCTTGAACTTTGGATGAGAGTGCGAGAGTGCGCGAGAGAGAGAGAGAGAGAAAGAGAGAGAGAGAGGGTAATAATGTAATGAGGATGCAATCAATATACGCTTCCCGGGTAATAAAAAAAAACTCTATCCAGGTGCAGTGCAGCACAGGGTGTCTCTGGTGTAGGGGAAGTAAGCTTTGGGAGGATCGTCATCATCAGAACGAGGTCGAGAGGAGGAGGAGGTGGTGGAGGAGGAAGGAGGGAAAAAGGAACGGAACAGCGCCTTGGTTTTAATGCGCTGTTATGCTGTAATAGTCTGCCCTCTTTTTTTCATTTTCCTTCTTTTCTCTCTTCTCTCTCCCCCTCTCTCTCTCTCGCTCTCTCTCGCTCTCTCTTGCTCTCTCGCTCTCGCCCTCGCCCTCGCCCTCACTTCCATCACACCCTCGCTCCCAATCACCCGCTGCAATCTCTGTAATCTCCATAATCTCCATAATCTCTATAGTCTCCATAGTCTCTATACTCTCTATAGTCCAGAGTGCGAAACACCGGTGCCTGTCTCCGTGCGCATAATTATAGACCCGATCGGCACCAGTGCCTCGTTCCACCAGATCCAGCCAACGGCGGCTCTCAGGAACCAGTTCCATCCTCTCACCCCAACACCCCCCAGCGCCCCTTTCCTCTTTATCTCCCTCACACAACCGCTGCTGTCCATCCGCTCTTTGTCCCCCCTCTATCCTATCCATCCTATCCATAGCAGAAGGCAACCCACCCCCCGCTCTTTTCTGTCTCTTCTTCTTCCTCTTCTTTTTCTGACTGACTGACTGACAACTGTCTGACTGACTGTGTGTCTGTGTGTGTCTGTGTGTCTGTCTGTCTGTCTGTCTATCTATCTATCTTTGTGGGTGAGTGTGTGTGTGTGTGTGTGTGTGCATATAGACAGCAGCCAAACGAATATATCAAAACGCACCGCCGTCGTCATCATTGTCCGTCTCCACTCCACTCCTCCACTCCTCCACTCCTCCACGCCTCCACTCCTCCACTCCTCCTCCAAGAAATGGTCCGCTCAACAAGGGCCAGCCTACTGGCCCTCGTATCCGTCCTCTCTCTGTCCATCGCCACCCTGACTGCCCCAGCGGAAGGTATCTACCATGCCATGCCAGTCTATCTGTCTATGTGCCCCTACTCCGCGGCAGCTGCACCGGACCCCAACTTCATATCTGACAAACCATATTCTCCTTCCTATTTCCATCTCATCTATTTATTCGTCCTGGTACACAGCCCACTCCTCAGCCTGGCCCACCATTACCCGATCGGAGCATGTCCTCTATCTCAGGCACGATATTTTGCCCAGAGCACCGCCATACGCCCTCCACAGGGACCAGCCCCTCGCCAAACGGACTCTCGATCAACAACTCAACGCCCAACCAAACACCATCCAAAAAGACGACACCGTCCGGCTCCAATTCGTCGCATTCAACACCACCTTTCATCTCTATCTCGAACCCAACACTGAGCTCATCCACCCAGACGCAAATCTGGGGCCAGATCTCTCCATAGATGACATCAAGCCCTTCAAAGGGGTCGTCGTCCAGGATGAACACCATTCGGACCACAAGTGGACCCGAGCCGCAACCACAACTCGAATGGCCAAGAGAACCGTCGAGCATATGCTGTATGAGGAGGGCGTCGTTGGCTGGGCCCGCATGATGATTGAACACGACCCTGACAGGTACAGCTGCGCTTTAATTGCAACCTGCAACTTGCGACTTGTAGTTTGATGTATTTATTCAATTCTTGCTGCCTGTAACATTGAAGTATGTACACATCCAAATGTATATTTCACTGATGTTGGGTAATTATTACTATTATATTTTCAACAGCGCGGATAGTCTAGTGCTTCGGGGAGCATTTATGGTTCATGGAGACACCTACCATGTCACTTCGCAACAGTCCTACCACATCCAGAAGCGATCCGACGATGCCTCTCCTGCCTCAACCTTCTCAGCGTCCCGTCTGATCATCTACCGCGATTCCGATCTCTATAACCCATCGACTCTCTCCAGAAGGAAGCGAGGCTTGAACACGGACGAGGTCTCATGTGGAGCGGACCACATGCTGAACAAAACTGCGGCCTACATAGAAGCGACCTCATCTCGCGACTATTACTATCCGCCAGATCTGTCAGCGACCGTACCCATGATGGGCGGATTCGACGCGAGCTCATCCTGGACTGACATGCTGACAGCGCCCTTGGTCAAACGGCAAGTCGCCGTCAAAGTTGCAGGACCCAGCCCTGTCCCCGACGGCTGTCCCGCCAACCGCCTCGTCAACTACATGGTATGGAACAGACACAATGCGCAAAGAGAACAAACAGAAACTGTCGGTTGTTTGTCTTGCATGATCCTAACCGCAACATCTTCTTTCCTTCTTTATGTATCATCACATAGGGTGTCGCTGCCGACTGCGCTTATGTTCGGAGCTATGGAGGACAGGCTGCGGCCAGGAAGCAAATCTTTGCCAACTTCAACACTGCCTCTGCAATCTATGAAAGCACCTTCAATGTCGCCCTCGGAGTCATCGCGCTCAATATCACGTCCGAAAATTGCCCCGCCACCCCTGTCAAGGGTGAGGAATGGAACCAGGATTGCTCCGCAACCTATTCAATCGATCAGCGTCTGAGCGATTTCTCGTACTGGAGGGGTCAAGAGGGCCGCGCAAGTGATGGCGCTGGGCTGTGGCACCTGATGACGAAATGCAACTCTGGACCGGTTGTCGGGATCGCATGGACAAAGGCTCTTTGCCAGATGAAGTCCCAGTCCCAGAACGCACTGGGACAGGGGATCCAATATACCGCAGGCACGGGAGTTTCCTCCGTCACCCCGAACGAGTGGATGGTCGTCGCACACGAGATCGGTCATGGCTTTGGAGCGATTCACGACTGCACTGCCCAGACTTGTCCTTCTTCCGCCGGACAGTGCTGCCCACTCTCAGCAACGACATGCGACGCTGGCGCGCAGTACATCATGAACCCTTCGGAACAGACAGCAACCAAGGTCTTTTCGCCCTGCAGTATCAAAGCCATCTGTGGAACCATTAAGAGCTCGTCAGGACAATGTCTTCAGGCCCCAGGAACTCGGGAAACACAAAGCTCCGAAGCCAACATCTGTGGAAACGGTCTCAAGGAAACGGGCGAAGACTGCGACTGTGGATCAGCCGAGGAATGTGCCGCGGACCCTTGCTGTGATGGCACCACCTGCAAGTTCAAGGACGACGCTGTGTGTGACGATTTGAACGACGACTGCTGCCAGAACTGCCAGCTCAAACCGGCGGGACAAGTGTGTCGACAGGCCATTTCCGAGTGCGATATCCAGGAAGTCTGCTCGGGCGCCAGCCCCGCTTGCCCACCCGATGTCAAAGTCAAGGACCAGTCACCGTGCCAAGGCACCGGAAACGCCACAGGACTCCAATGCGCCAACGGTGTGTGCACTTCACGCGATCTGCAGTGTCAGCAACAGGATCGACCCGGCATCACCAAGCAATGCGGAGCCTCGAATTCGTGCGATCTAATGTGCAATGACCCTGGCGGAAGCGCGTTGAGTTGCATGCAGATTCCTGGCACCTATTTTATCGACGGCACGCCCTGTGGATTTGGAGGCACATGCAATGGAGGACAGTGCGCGTACAGCAGCGGTATCAAGGGTGTGTTGAACTGGGCCAGGACCCATTTGACGATCGTGATCCCTGTAGGCTGTGTGCTGGGTCTGATTTTGCTTTGCTGTATTTGGGGCTGCTGCTGTTCAGGATCTGTGCGTCGCCGAAGACAGAAGAGCATGCTCCGGAAGCCATCCATCAGACCGAACGGCGCCCGCTCAGTGGTAGGCCCTCGACCCGGCGCAGGAGGTCCCAATGAAGTTCAGAGAGCTCAGCACGTTGGCCAACAATACCCTCTGGGACCGTTACCGCCACCGCCTGTGTATTACGATCCATCTACGCTGCAGCAGAGATCAAGGGAGGACGAGGAGCTTCAGCGGGCGATCGAGGAGAGTCGGAAAGAACACGAGAGGCAGACGCGAGCTATGGCCGGTAGTGGTGAAGGTACTACTCCTCCTCCTCCCTTCCCCGAGGTTTCCAATCCAGCATCAGCGCAATGGAATAATGGAGCAACAGTGGTCTCGACACCGTACGTTGATAACACCTACTCGCAGCGCTTCTCCCGCCAACCCAGCAGCAACGGAGGCAGCATTGGTAGGAACGGAGGTAGCATTGGCAGGAACCGAGTCGCCAACGATCCCTTTGCGAACCCAACAGTCATGTCGCAGAACACGACTGGATACACGTAGTCGATCTTTCTCTCTCTCTCTTTCTCTCCATTCTTTTCTTTCATTCTTTCATTCTTTCATTCTTTCATTCTTTTGTGTAATTTATCGCACTCCATCCACTTTGTATATATGCTACATCTATGTATTTCGTGTAATAAAAATGCCGGATGCAACCTTTAGATTGGTCATCGAACCCGCTCATTAGCAACAGTTCATCCGTATGTAGGATATATAAAGGCCGACAGAGCATTTCTTATCCCCCCCCCCTCCCCCCTCCTCCTCCTCCCCTGCACATAAAACCATCAACTTTTGCAAACATCCATGACACTCCAAGTCGTCCGAGCAGTCGATAACCTCGAGCGATACAACATCACCCGGTCGAACCTCAACATCTACCACAATGTGGTGATCGGGAACCGTATCCGTTCATTACACCCTGCTCAGCGGCTTCCTCCTTTCACTTTACCCGCAAGTCCACAACAACCACAACAACAACCACAACAACAACAACCACAACAACAACAATGGGCGCAGCTACTCCTGGACCCCATCACCCAATTACTGGACCAACACCCCTCCCTCGCCGTCGTCATAGGCGACCACCTCACAGCTCGCCCAATGTTCTTGCGTCTAGAAACCATTGATCTCGTCCCTTTGATCCGGGTCGTGACCCTCAAGGATTCATTGGACATTAGTCGCGTTTTGGAACAGGAACACAATTTACCTTTTGACCTCTCGGACCAGACTAGGCCGCTTTGGAGATTGGTGATCGCGTTGATGATGGAAGGGGATTTATCGTCGGTTTATGTGCTCTATACGTTCCATCATGTTATCGCGGACGGTCGGTCGGCCATGGCTCTTACGGCGCAGTTGATCGAGCTCTTGAACCGACAGGCACAGGCACAATCACAGGCACAGGCATGGGCAGGAGCGAACAACCGTGCTGGCAACACAAAGATTCCTGTGAGATCAATGAACCCAATGCCTGCATCGATCGAACAACGTGTGAACTGTTACCCTTCCCTCCGAACCCTAGTCCTGGAAGTCATTCGGGCTTTACTCCTACCGGGAATTTTAAAAAAGGCTCTCGAGCGTCGGTACTGGGCCGGAGAGATCGATAGCTCACTCGAGGTCCCCAACGAGACCGAACTCGGGTTCTTGCGGTTTTCCAAGGAGGAGACCCAAAAGATCGTTCAGGCCGCCAAGACGCACGCGACGACCGTCCAGGCTGTCTTGTACGCGGCCTCGGTGTTTGCGACCAAGGCGGTCTTTATGTCCTCGGGATCGATAAGCCGGGACGGTGACCATGAGGATGGGTCTGGGTCTGGGTCTGGAGGGAAGAAGGCACGTAAGGAGAAGGAAAAAGAAGAAGAAAAAGAAGAGGGGATTGTGTTTGCGACACCGGTGTCGTTACGGAACCTGATCCCGAACAAGATCGCACCTGAGGATCAAGGGAATTACACCTCCGAGATCCTTCACCCAGCCATCCATGTGAACAACTCATCCGAATTCTGGGAGATGACACGGATCTATCGAGCTCAGGTGGTGGCGAGCACAACGACCACCAGGGGTGTGCAGGAACTGTTGGAACATTTCGGGATGTTAAACTTGCTTTCCAAGAAGGATGGAGGCTGGGAGACATTTATGACGAGCAAGGTCAAGAAGGATCAACATGGACGGAAGGCTTCCATCAAGCTGTCGAACCTCGGGTCGGGGTGGGGACAGCAGCCCAGTCGGCATGTTTGCGGCAGTGGTCATGATACTGTTACTGATACTGGTACGAGGACTGGGCCAGAGAGAGAAGGCGAGGTGGAGTTTTTGATTGAGGACGCGGTGTTCTCACAGTCTTCGGGGGTAACGGCTTCGGCCTTGACGATGAATGTGGCGACGGCGAACGGGGTGATGACGGTGACGACGACATGGCAGAAGGCCGGGTTTAGGGGAAGGGAGAGAGGAGATGTGTTCGTGGAGGCGTTCCGGAGGATCCTGTTTGAGGCGATAGAGGGTGATGATGGTAGTGGTAGGCGGCAGGAGAAGTACTTTTTTTCGCAACTGCTTTTGCAATAAGGGGATAGATAGATAGATAGATAGATAGATAGATAGATAGATGGACATGTACTCAAAATGAGGTAGTGATAAATGAAGAGTTTATTGCAATAATATCGATCCGTTTACTAACAGGCCTGTTATTTTTCTTTTTTTTTTCTTTTTGGCAGGATATGGAGTGAATAGACTGAGTAGATCGCGTTGTTGTTGTCGATGGTAGCTCAGTGCATGAACAGGGACAACAGGAGGCAGCCGCTGAATGCCTTTTGTTCCCTGCAGCAGCGAGGGTCAGGCTGATTCCAGCTTTGTTAGTGTTCACCTCCAATCGAGACGAAAAGGAGACGCGTTCGATTGATAGGCTGCTTCCTGTGTCCTGCATCGGCACTTGCTGTGGTCAATTAAGCAAACCCTTCTTCTTCCCCCCCCCCCCCCCCCTCCTCCTCTCCTCCTCCTTCCCTCCCTAGTCCTCGGTCCCTGTCCTTGACCCTGTCGCTCATCCCTGATGTCCTTCCTGTGCTGTACTATGCTATGCCATGCTTAAGTGTGCTATGCTGTGCTTGAATGCGCTATCCTGCACAATGCATTACAAGGGCTGGTAGAAACTTCAGCGCTCATTATGCTGCGGAGAAGAAAGAAAGAAAGGAAGAAAGAAAGGAAGAAAGAAAGAAAGAAAGAACAAATTAGGGGGCGGTGGATGGGCAGAGAAGACAGACATACCATCATAGTATGACATAAAGGCGGTCCGTTCATGTTCGTGCTTTGGATCTGGATGAAAAGAAGACGGAGAAGAGGACAGGAGCAGGAATAGGAGTAGAAAGAGAGATGTCACCCGTGCTTGCTCCTCCCCACGATGTTGCGGGCGAGCCCCGAAGGAGAAGGGGGATGGAGTAGGGCGGCTCTCGTCCCCTCCATGGTACCATTGCAGAAGAGAGAGAGTGCGAGTGCATGCGTCCTGGAGGGTGTTCAGAGTCCACTGTGGAGTGTGTGGGGTGCAGAGTGTCCGGTGTTTGGTGTCCCTGGGTCGAGGCGATATAGATTTTTGGTCCCTGAAAAGAATGACCTGTGAGCCCATATAACTTTTTCTGTGGTCCTCTTGAAGCTTTTTTTGCAGGAGCACCAGCAAGCGGCAGCAGAGGCTCTTGTTCATCAACAAATCAACAAAACAAACAAACAACACCAAATTACAATCCGCACCATTCTCCATTCTCTTCCTCCTTTTACCATCACCTACACCATGTCAGCCTCACTCCTGCTCGAGATGCTCAGGCGGTCTGGCCTGGAGCACTACTACCCCAGGTATGACTACTAGCACACTTCAACTTTCACTCTGTCTCTCATCGAGTGCTTTGTTGTCCTGTGTTGTTGTGGGGTGGGGTGAGGTGGGGCGGATCCTTTTCTCCGACTTCTTGTTGGGCTCGTCACCGCTTGTTTGTTATTATTGTTTCTGTATACAGAACATGAACATCCTTCACGATCCAGAAGCAGCTGAACGTCTCGATCTTTTTTCCCTTGGCCCTGGCCTGACATGACACTATCCATCCACGACGGAAACATATCGGATTCTGTTTGCAACTGTAATCGTGATAGGAGTCGCAATTGGAGTTGCAATTGAAGTCGCAATTGCAATTGATCCCATATTGCATAGCAAGGATGAGCATCCTGATCCATGTTCGATGCGGAAGAAAGAACGAGAGAGCGAGAAAGAGGGTGAGATCTGAAGAGTCCATCCGTCCGGCTAGCTACAACAAACACACAAACACACTTGCACACATACACCACATACACCACATACACCACATACACCACATACACCACATACACCACATACACACAGACACACATGCACACAGACAATGGAGAAGAATGAGCCTGTCGCGCATAGATACGATAGCCCACGTTATTAACAACGACGTCTTCCCTTTCTTTCGTTCTGTGTCTGCCATGCTATGTCGCTCCTCCATTCATTGCGTCCAATGCACGCATCGATAGCTTCTCCACACGCGGCATCACGCAGGTCGACAACCTTGTTCAAGTAAGTTGCATGTGGATGAATACTATTGCCAGATCTGCATATGCGTACCCATCACTTCGTCCTCCTCCCTTCCCTTACCGTCTGCCTGTTCCTTTCACCCCTATGTCTTCTCTTGTTTATCTCAACCCATTATGTCTTTCCATGGCATGGGGGGGGGGGTTTCTGATCTTGGTATATGTCTCCCACAACAAACATCTCACACACGGACCTGTGATTTACCATTTCTTCCCGCTTGCCGTGGTATGTATATTTCTTTACAAATAGCTCACCATGCAGGATTACAACACCCTGGGAGTCACAAGTATGGACGACCGGAGGCGACTTTTCCAGCTTATCCAGACCATCAAAGCACAGTACATCGATACCCCAGAGCCCTCGCCTCCGCTCGTCCCACCCACTTACGCCTCCTCCCTACCGCCGCTCTCCCCAACATCGCCCTCCAATGCCACCGCCGCCGCAGAAGACGCGACCATCGCCGCCTTTACCCGTGGCTATGGTGCCCAGAGTCTGGACGAGATCTCCAAGAGGGTTTCGGACGCCCGTCTATCGATCGGTCGACGATCCGGTGCGAACATGGCCAATAGTCTGAGCCATTCCAAAAGTCTTTCCGGATCCATGACCCTCGCATATCAGCAGCAGCAACAACAACATCAGCAGCAGCAGCAGCAACAACAACAACAGCAACAATATCAACAATATCAGCAGCAGCAACAGCAAATACTCCAGCAGCAGCAGTTACTCCAACAACAACAGTACCGGCAGCAACAGCGTGAATTGATGCAACAGCAACAACACCAACAACAACAACAACAACAACAGCAGCAGCAGCAACAGCAACAACAGCAGCAACAGCAACAACAGCAGCAACAACAGCAACAGCAGCACTATTACCAACAAAGCTATCCTGATGGACAAAATTTTAGGGAGGCATCTGAAGACGAAGAGGACCCCATCCCAGTTCAGGAGGCAAAGCAGCGTGGACTCGATGGGTACTGCGTATCTTCAGGCATTGAACGGAAAGGGACTCTGGGTCGCGGCTCCCACGCGTATACTGTCAACGACATGACAGCCAAGATCCGTGTCTGTGTCCGCAAGCGACCCCTCAGCAGCAAGGAGATCAATAAAGCGGAGAAGGACATTGCAACAGTATCAGGGCGTCAATTGGCCGTTGATGAGCCAAAGTAAGTGTTTAAAAGCGACGGCTACTCTCTCTCTCTCTCTCTCTCTCTCTCCCTCATGTCGTCTTGCGTTAATCGGCATGCATTCCTCCGTTTCATAATACTTACATATTTCTCTTTTCTCACTTTGGCTACTGCTTCGAACAGGGTTCGATTGGACATGACCAAGTTCATTGAGAGGCACAAGTTTGTGTTTGACGAGGTCTTTGATTCGGATGCGACTAATGAGGATGTCTATCGGAGGACGGCATACCCGCTGGTCCAGTACCTATTCGAGGGCGGAAAGGCGACTTGCTTTGCATATGGTCAAACCGGAAGCGGAAAGACATATACGATGTTGGATGACAAGCAGGGACTCTATGTTTTGGCTGCACGCGACATTTTTGTGCGGCTGCGTAATCCGGAGAACTCGCACCTCGGAGTCTACATTGGCTTTTACGAAATCTATCAGGGACAGCTTCATGATCTGCTCAACAACCGCAAGAAACTACACGCGCGCGAGGACGGAAAGGGTGGTGTTGTGGTTGCGGGACTGAAGGAATATGAGATTGTGAACGTGCAGGGACTGATGCAGGTCTTTGAGTACGGAAACAATGCCCGGAGCACAGGTAAGGACTTTCCATGTCTCTTCTTCCTCTGCCCTTTGGTTTTTATTATTTCATCCTGTGCTGTTCAGTTCTTGCGGACAGCTTACTAAGACGGTTTCCCATACGTTTTGAATTGTAGGGAGCACAAATGCCAACGCAGATTCCTCAAGATCGCACGCAATCATGCAGCTCGTTTTGAAAAACCGCTCCACGAAAACTGCTGTGGGAAAGCTGAGCTTCATCGATCTTGCCGGAAGCGAAAGGGGCGCTGATCGCGGTGAAACTGACGCCAAGACAAGGTATGGCTTGCTCATCCTTGTCCCCCTCCAAAAAAAAAAAAAAAAAAAAAAAAAAAAGGCGCTTTCCTGAAGATTATCTCTGAAACTGACAGCGCTTTTACTTCCTTACCTTGTCGTCCGTGATAGATTGGAGGGAGCGGAGATCAATAAGAGTTTGCTGGCGTTGAAAGAGTGCATTCGTGCATTGGACCAAGATAAGAAGCACACGCCGTTCCGTCAGAGCAAGCTGACCCAGGTCTTGAAGGATTCATTTGTCGGAAATTCAAGGACCTGCATGGTGGCCACCATCTCACCCAACAACTCGAACAGCGACCACACGCTGAACACTCTTCGCTATGCTGATCGGTATGTTTTTTAGACAGGTGGAACGTCTGGCAAAAACAGGCATTTATTGTTACTTTTGGTATTCACGCATTCTACCATGATCTTACTCCGTCTAGTGTGAAGGAACTCAAGGCTGAAGGAGGAGCAAGGGAGGCGGTCAAGGAGCATGACGAAAACTCGGCTCGGGAAGAATACATGGACGATACCGAGAACGAGCTAGGCACGGCGAGCGCGTACGACGATGACGACCTCATTTCCTCCGCAAGCGACAACCTCGTCGACGAGTCGATTGATCTGCTGGACGACGAAGAGTTCCCGCACGCGCTCGAACATGAGGAGATGGTTCATCATCCTCTGGCGACTACCACGTACGATCATGAGCTGGAGGAGCCAAGTCCAAGACAGCTGAGGGGAGCCTTTGAAGAAGGGGAGGATATCAACGCGTCCCGTCGTTTGTCGCAGCAGCAGCAATCCCAGCGTATGTTGTTGCAGCAGCAGCAACAGCAACATCAACAACAGCAGTTGCAACAACAAATGCGACAGCAACAGTTGGATTCTGAGAGGTTCCGGGAACCGATTCCTTCGAGCAATGGCAATGGATCGCCACGGCTGAAGCACTCTGGATCGATCAAGACACGCAAACCAGAGGTGTTGAGTCGGTTGCCTATGCCACGCGGTGGTGCTGGCCAGCAGCAGCAGCAGCAACAACAGTCACCACGGACAGTATCACCGACGGGTGGCCTGAACAGTCCTACGACGACCTCGAGTCCTTCTTCAATCACGACAGCGCCGCACCGCCTATCGCTGGCTGGATCCGGGAGTCGTCGGAGCTCGTCCAATATTTCACCACCGCTGGCTAATCGCCGTGTGAGTCCGGGATCGACATCCCCCAATGGTACTAGTGAAACGAACGGCAGCAGCACACCGACGGGTCATCAGCGGGCGATGAGCGGGTCGAACATTGTGAACACACCCTCCTCGAATCTGAAGCGGCCTTCTGTGACGACGATGAGGCAGTCATCAGGATCCGGAGCGAGTGGTGGCGGTCGATCTAGTAGTACAGCATCTTTGATCCAGAGCAATGGCGAGGCTGCCTTTGGGCTTAACTCCCCTACGTCGCCGAGAGTAACGACCGCAGCAGCGAATTCCTCTGCGGCAGGGTCGCAACCTGGCAGTACAACGACGTCTACGACGACGAATGGAGGCTCAACCTGGACGTTTTCGATTGCGGAGATGCAGGAGTTTGTACGGGAGCACCGGATTGAGCTGCATGATTGTGGGGAGCTGATGAAGCGGGAGAAGAAGTTGTTGAGTAGTGCGCAGGCGACGGCTGCTGCTGCTGCTGCTGCTGCAGGGATGAGCAATGGCTCTGCTGAGGATCGGCAGGCGTTTGAACAATATCTGGCAGAGCTGGATGAGATCGTGGACGAGAAGTTGATTACGATTGTGGCCATGTCACAGAAGCTGAAGGCGCTGAGGTTGCAGATGTGAGAGAAAACCATGATTCTTTTTTTTTTTTTTTGGCTGAAAATATAAAAAGATAAAGATAAAAAGCAAAAGTGTATTATACTATCAATAAAAAAAAAATAAAAAAAAAAAGCATATAGCTGAAGATCCCGAGAAGGAGCATGCAGAAGCTAGCTAACCCCACACACCGACTCCAGATCTTTGACCCTTCTCACTGACCGGCCTCGTATTTAAAATACGGGTATAAAAATTCGCGCGCCCACTTCACGCACCCTTTTTTTTTTTTTTTTTTTTTTCCCCTTTATTCCTGTCTTTCCTTACACCATTGCACACGTATGTACACACACGCGCTTGTGCTTTGTTACATCTTTTCGATTCCTCTCATCTCTCTTTTTGTTCTTCACACACCGCCCAAGGACCTCAGTTTATTTCAGGAAATGTGGGATATCTTTTTAAAAATAAAATAATATTGGCATAGGCTCTGAGAAGGGAGATATTTACAGAGATATTTTTCATTAACACACTAATCAAGAAACACTTGTCAATGAATGGTGCGGGTTGGTTGCCTTGTCAATGGAGTCATGGCCTCAGATGCAAACGACGAGTACACAAAGCAAAGCTCGCCCAGGAAAAAACCACAGAGCTCCTTCAAATCAAATATCAAGAATTTTTGAAGCTGGAGTCTAAAATTGATCGTACAAATATTTTGAAAGGATACCCCTTGGTCTGTGCGCGCTACCATTGATTAGTCAGCAGATGCAGGAAGCTGAATTTGCGTCAAAAGTCCTGGAGCTTCCACTTTGTGGGTGCTCGCTCTGAGTTAATGGACATTATGTCGAGAAGTTTGGGTCGGCAGCTTGACAAAGACTCATTCGATCAACACGATCGTCTGGGCAAACTTACGAAAGGAGCGTACCAATTATGCTTAAAAACCAGTCATGACAGGTTTATTTTTTCTGGTCTTCGCGTCAACAAGACTCGATGCGTCCTTCGTCCTTCTTATCACCATATCCCTTTTCCCTTCTTGACACCCTCATCTCTCTCTTCTCTTTCCCGCCATGGCTACCTTCACCTTATTTTGCCTCGTCAATGGAGAGCCCGTGTTGAGGGCATTTCCCGTCGACATTGCCGCCAGCAGCACTGTTGGGCATCTTAGGGATGCTATCAAGAGAAAGAAAGCACCAGAATTCGTCAACATTGCATCACACCAACTAACGCTGTGAAAGGTGTCAATCCCCGTTGTTGCTGCGCACAAACACGAGAACATTACTTTTGACTCACTAGACCCCAAAGACCAAGAAGAACTCTCTCCAACGGACGAACTCTCTCAGGTATTTCCACAAGAGCCAGGCGACGACAACTATATCATAGTACAACGCCCGCCACCAGGTAATGCCGCTCACTACTCAATGCAGGCCTTCCAGCATACACTTGACTACGCTTCATAGGGCGCGTCTTTGTACTCGTGTTGTTTTATTTATTTCTATTGTAACTTATAACTTTACTTATTTCTCGTTGACTAGCATTGAAAAGGGGTCGTGAGCATGATCTCGAGGATCCATGGAAGCGTGCTAGGATCGACGACTGGGTGAGATACGACGCCAAAGACGGACCCGTATACCTGCCACCCGTTCTTATCAGCATGCTCAATAGTGAAATGTTCATCCCTGCACCGCGCGACGAGTTCAAACAGCAATTGGACAATATGCAAGTCGGTCAGCAAATTATTCTACCATCGATCGGTCAAAGTCCCAAGCATTACGGAAAGGGCTACCAGGGATTGTCGTTTTTTGTCACGGAGCAGATGATGGAGATGTGGCGTTTGCTCTCCAGCAATAGCAATCGGCCGATCAGAAGGGTCTTGTCGGGCCCAATGGGCGTTGGTAAATCATATCTTTCGCTCTTTCTTGCTGCCAAAGCATATTCCGAGGGATGGCTACTACTCTACGTTTCGGATGCGAACGATTTGGCCTTGGACAGCGAGGCCAGGACAGCACAAGAAATATGTAGGCGATTCCTAGCCCTCAACAAGGACATTTTGACTACCGCCGACTTCGAAGAGATAACGTTCGGGCTTCCAACTGAAGATAACGCAATCGTCACTGCTGCGGGTTGCAGGATCCTCAACCATCTACTGCAACAAAAGGATACGAAAACTCTCTTGGTCGTTGACGAACATGGTGCGCTTTTCGAAACTGACCCACCAGTGCCTAAAAAGTATCTGCTGCTAAACCCCTTAATGCGACTTGCGGCTTTT